ACTAGTGACTACAGTGAGTTTGGGGTCATCCACACCCCACAGCTCAGGTGGGGACAGGAGGCTTTGACTTCTGTCTATGTCATCATTCTAAGCAAAGGAGTTTCTGTGGATCAGCTTGGAATGGCTGTGTTCACAGACATATAATTTAAAGAAAATACCCGTTTTCTGCCCAGGATAAACAGCTGCCATGAATGAATAGTAACCTGGCAAGGGCTTAAAAACCACTAGCCTCTGTTGACTTTCAAGATATATTGCAAAAACAGTAATAAAATGGTATTTGTTGAGCCCTCGTTATTTGTGAGACAGGTTAGTATCCTACGTGGTTTAAAACAGACTGCAGTGGAAGTCACTTTGCCTCGCTAAACCTCACACTGAGCTTGGGGTGATCATTTTAACTGACCTCATAAGATGGTTGTGAGGTTCAAGGAGTTAATAAAACAAAGTCCTTGGACCAGTTTGAGCACACATTATATCTCAAAAAAACATCAGCTTTTACTTTTAAGTCATGTGCTCTTAAGGGCCCACCTATGGAATCTCAGCTTTACAGAGAGAAACAGAAGTGCCTAGGAAATAGCAGAGGAGATATGGCTCTGGGGCCCCTTGTCTCTTAAACACTACGTGTTGCCACTTTCCAAGATGGTGACGATAACCCAACTTTGCAAATGGGTCAGGTGTTTCAGGGTCGATCTGTATGGTCGAGAAGCTTTTAAGTTTTGTTTTTCCGGAGAATATCAGGGTACAATGTAGGGGGATGCAGCAGGAAATATGACTGTGAATCAGCTGCCTGATAAAACAGTCGAGCTGGAGCCCACGTCACCACAGGACTTAACAATGTCACTGAAAACATCGGCCACCTATTTCAGTATAGATTTCCCTTCAGGACATGAAAGCATAGATCAAAGAGAACAAGGCTAGCAACCTTGAAAAGTCACATTGCTAATATGTATTTGTTTGTATTAGCTATTTGGCTTCAGTGAGAGTTACACTCTCATTAGGTTCATAGCACAAAGTCATTTTTCACTAATTTCTCCTAGTTTATAATCTGACTGGGGTGTGCAAGAGAATGCTCAAAACACATGGTCATAAATGTATACTTCCTACAGCATTGGGCTCCTACATATAAATCAGTTCAATTCTGGAAATGCTTACTAAGTTCCTGCTGTGAGAAAATGCTATTCCAGAGACGACAGTAAACAAAACATGGTTTTCCGACCTCCAACACCTTCCTATCTCTAGAGCTGCTGACAGTACAATAACCTGTAGCCACATGTGGCTATTTAAATTCATATAAGGTGGAAAGTCAGCCTCCCCGCTGCACTGGCCATGTTTCAACTGCTCAGCAGTCCTGTGTGGTTACTGGCTGCCATGTTGGCTAGAGCAGCACAGAACATCTCCTTCATTGCGATCATTCTGCTTGACAGTGCTGCTCTCTAGGATGGGGCAAAATAACCCTTGTCCAGGAATTCTGTTGCCCCTCGCTTGTGGTTGTAGTGTGGTCGGCTCATAGGGCCTCCTGTGGGAACAGCAGCTCCCTTCAGGTTTGACATCTGAAGTCACAGATTTAGATTCTGCTTCTGACCTGAATTGACCTTGGGTAAGGATGCTGTCCTTTCTGGTGGGAATTTCTTCACCAGCAAAACAGGAACATCAGATTACATGATCTCTACTACACCTTCTGTCCAAATACCTTGTGATTCTGTGCATGGATTGATAGAAGTGTGTGTGTGTGTGTGTGTGTGTGTGTGTGTGTGTAAATGTACCCTGGTTAGAAGATACTGCAAAGAAGAATTTCCATCTCCCAAGATAATTTTGCTTTTTATCTTAGAAATGTACTTTCCAAAAAGAAAAGAAACTTAATTTCCTCTTCTAAATGTCGAGACAAAATTCTGTTTATGCAGTCCTCACTTCACCAAATTAATTTTAAAATGAAATTATTTTATTATTCATCTTTGTAGAACATCAAAATCTCCCTAAAGGAAACTTAAATGTGTTTCTTTTCTTTCTTTTTGAAAAGTGTACTCTAGAAGTTCCGTTTTTCTCCTCCTTGTCCAATTCTCCGTTCCCACATGGTGCTGTTGGGTTAAATACTGGCAAACACAGGGAAGCAGGTGCCTGGTCTTGGACGTGGTGAATGTTTCCATGTTATGATAGAAAGAAATCATCAAACAGCAAACTCTACATTATTTCTATCCAGAGAAAATGAACATGAGACGATCTTCACAGTTATAAGGCACTTCAGTCCTTCATCCCACTACAGAATGGGCTACTGTTAGGCCAAGCACTTCCTGCAAAACAGTTTACTAAAAAATTTCCCTTAACTCTCTGATGTGTGACTGCACTTGCAGATATTTCTGCGAGAAACAGCAGTTCTATTTCCTTTTAAAATAACAGTCTTCATAGTATAATGTCTCTTAGTGTAATGTCACTTGGCCTTGAGACCCTCTCATGTACCTGTTCCCCTTACTCACATTAGCTAGAAGAACTAACAGCTTCTCTTTTTTTAAACACTTGTTTTTATTTATGCATATAAGAGCTGGGGTGTAGCCAGAGGTGTGGGGGGTGGGTGAGAGGATTCACCAGCAGCAGAGTGGGGAGCAGAGCAGATGGATCTACTGAAATACACCAGGGAGAGCAGCAGGTGAGACAGGAGAGGTCTGCTGTGCCATGCGGCTCACCTCCCTGGCCAGGGATTGAACTCATGCTGTGGCTGTCCACAGCTTGCTATCATGACACTTAACCTCTGTGCCACCAGGGAAGCCCAGTTTCCTTTCTATCTACAAGTCTGAGGACTTTACAGGGGACCTGCTCCCAGGTGTGGGGCACAGGTGGAGAGTTTAGTTCAGAAGGCCCAAGGAGAAGAGGGTGGACTCACTTCAGCAAATTCAGATGCTCCGCAAAAAGGCAGGAGACTGTTTCCCTCTGACAGCCCTGGTGGGAATCATCAGCGAGGGGCTTTCGGTGACTGATCCTGTAGCCCTGCAGGATCTCAGGCCACTGGTCTGATCCTTACAACCTAGCCACCTGCCTCGTTCCCTTATTTCTTCTGGAAAGAGTCATGGGATCAAGAGCTGGCATTCGGCACCTACTCTACCTCTTCTGGGAGTTACTCAGCCTCTCAAGCCTGTGTCCTGGTCTGCAAAGTGAGGACAGACAATATCACTGCTCTCCTACTTTAGAGATACCTGTGGGCACCTGGAGAGCCCCAGACCCGGCTACTCCTGTGGCTCCTGCCATGACAGGTAGTACTGGGACCTGATAGTAGCAGGTAGGGAGGGAACTTGGGGTCCACTGCTTGAGCTGCATGAAGCCTGGCAGGTCTCCTTGTGTCCGGTTTTCTCTTCAGTGAAATGAAGATTCCAGATAACTCACAGACTCTGTCTGAGAGCTGATTTATTCTTTGAAGCCATTTATCAGCCACCTTCTAACCCCTTTCCTGCTAGCCCCCATTCTTCCACCAGTGATCTTTCAAAAAATGATCCCATAAGTCACACCCTTGCTCAAAACCCTACACTGGCACCCTGTGGCTTTTTTAGGGTTTGCCTGGGACACTTCTGATTGTAGCACAGAAGCACCATGTCAATGCGTCGGTCATCCTCCCATGCATGGGGACCTCCGGGGGTCTCCACCCACCTTCCTAGTACTCATCTCTCACCATTCACTTCTGTCCACGTCCTCGCTTTTCTACACTTAGGGACTCCCAAAGAACATTTGACAAAATGCTGGTGCCCTGGCCCTGCCTCTTAAGAACTTGATTTCATTATTTGGACTGAAACCAGACTTTAAATGTCTCCTTAAAGCTACCGGGTGATTCTAAAGTGCAGCCAGGGACGAAGACCATGAGGTGTCCAGGCACCCATGTGCATTCACTGTGACTGAGCAGACCTTCCCCTCCTTTCTTCCCTTCAGCTAATACCTGCCCATCCTCTTCCTATCAGTAACCTCTTCTTCCAGGGAGCCCTCCTGTATTACTCCAGGTAGATGTAACTACCTCCCTTTTCTGGTTCACAGGCTACCCTGGGTTTGCATTCATCGGTGCCTGACCATTCTGTATTTCTGTTGGTTTCTTCGAATCCCCACCCTCATTAGATCTTGAATTTCTTTCAGGAAGAGATTTTATCTTTCCTCCTTGTATCCCTGAGCCTACGGGCTCTGGCACATTGCAGGCTCTCCATAAGGATGTGGTGAAGAGCTCTTGTGAGCTTGGTTCTAGGAAAGGGATGTTGACACAATAACCCTGCTGAGCTGGGGAATAGAGATTAAGGAAACACTAGACCCAAGTTCAAAACAATGTTTTAACATATCTATAAAACTGGACAAGCCCTAATATTCAAATGTTTGAAAATTCATTTTGCTCTTTTTCAGGTAATGAATTTTTCTCTTTTCCAGGGGGAGAGACAAGACATTAGGAAATCCCCCCTCCAACCACACTGCCTATCATAAAATTGTAACTGGAAATGATTCTCTGACTAACTTATTTCAGCTCTGTGTTATTTTTTCCCTTCCTCCTGTTCTTTCTTCAGCTGGTTATTGCCCTGCATTTCCTAAGAAGCAGAAAGGTTCAGTGCTAGGTCTCTCTCTCCATCTCTCTCTCTCTCTCTCTGTCTCTGTCTCGCTCCATCTCTCTTGAACGCTTTTTATCGGCAGGCTTTCAGATCTTCAAAGCAGCCTGTATGCAGCGTGACCCCACTCCCTCGCCTCCCCATGCTGGGGAGTGAACGCTGTATTTTGACGACTTGCATATTTGGACAGCCGGAGAGTGTGACCCTCACCAAGTCTGCAGGGATGAGAGCGAGTCAGCGTTTTCTAAGTCCCCTTTCACCCCAAATCCAGACACTGAAAAATTGACACCGGACCCCAGAGTTAAACAAACAGAAAGTTTATAGGTCTGCTTGTATTTGACCCATCCCCTGGGGCAACAGCCCTGGTCTTCTGCCTTTTTTGGCATTTGAGTCCTTACAGTTGGTGTCCCTCAAATTCTCAACCTTTGTGATTATCTGCAGTGTTTGGTCCTGGACAAGTTTGAAAGCTATGATGATGAAATTCAGCTCACCCAACGAGCCCTTTCTCTGCTGGAGGAAAACAGATTCTGGGCTGGTGTGGTATTCCCTGACATGCAGCCCTGGACCAGCTCCCTACCGCCCCATGTGAAGTACAAGATCCGGATGGACATAGATGTGGTGGAGAAAACTAATAAGATCAAAGACAGGTGACGTTTTAGGAAAACCCAGACATGGGCATCCCCTGGGGGGTAAGGCTAGAAGAAGGCTGCTCTGGTCTCAGGCCCCATCTCTGCTGGGGGCAGGAGGGTTAATTGAAAAAGGAGAGAGATAAGGATATCCAAGAATGAAATTAGCCAGTTGGATTGGGCCACTCTCCTATCCTCTGCTATCCTGTCTTCACCTCTCAGTTCAGCACTTGAACCTGGCTGAATTTGTGCAATTTGAAGATGGAAACCTGTAAGTGTTGAATTGTCTTCAACCCAGACAGTCTGACAAACTCACTGGGAAATTACATTTAGTACAGAGTAAGGGATTGAAATTGCATTCAACCTATGTATCAATAAGGTTAACTAAGAGGAAATAAGGTGTTTTATACTGCTCAAAGTAGAGTCCTTAATTGAACGCCGTTACAAGGCATGTGTAGCTAACATTGGTAACTGAGACTTAAACATGAATGGAGCCCACTAGTTTGGAAACATTTAGAGGGAAGGCTTGAAGTAAGAGAGTTCCAGGTTACCTCATCCTTCCCTCTGGTTTCTTCCTAGGTATTGGGATCCTGGTCCCAGAGCTGATCCTGTGGAAGATTTGCGATACATCTGGGGAGGCTTTGCCTATCTGCAGGACATGGTGGAACAGGGGATCACCAGGAGTCAGGTGGAGGCTGAGGTCCCCATTGGAATCTATCTCCAGCAGATGCCTTATCCCTGCTTCGTGGATGACTCGTGAGTGGCTGCTTCCCATCCCCCTCCCTGACCAGCTAATAAGGTTGCCGGGTGGGAACTCGGAAACCCTTCAGAGAGAAACCTGGGGACTGGACCATACTGGGGAGAACGGTGCTATGTCTAAGGAGCCTGCTACTCTCAGGCTCCAGGCAGGACCCCAGGCACAATCAATAAAGCGGTAGGTATGGGTGCGAAAGGGAAGGTGAAAATTAAAACAAGAGAAGTGGGATTGGAGGAGGGAACAAGCCTTTTTAAATTTCCACTGCGTAGTGTGTTTGGTATGTGGAAGGGGTCTGGTCAGCGTGTTTGCCCAGTGAGTGCCAAGTTAGCAAATCAGGACTCTGCGTGCAAGTAGGTTCGGTGCCTAGGAGCCTTGGAGTAATGCACCCCTTCCCTAATTAACATTCCCATGATGTGCTCTTAATGAAAAGGTAGAGGAATGTGTTGGATGAGCTCAGATCCTCCCTCCCTGCCCACCCCCTCCCCCAGGCCTGCACAATTGCTGGCCAATAGAGAGCTGAGCCACTGCTAGCCTACTGCTTTCTGAACTTGGATTTGGGGGAGCGGTAGAGAGAGGAACAGAGAGGAAGAGGGGGCTGGGTGGGCTCATTTACCATGGTGTATGAGGCAAAAATCCTGTAGCTGGCTTACACATCACCGCCTAGCAGTGTACTTGTATGTCTGCAAGATTCCAAGAGGAGAGCAACAGGCAGAGTCTTAAGAAAGGAGAGTTAGGTTGAGTTGGCAAGACATTAAAAGGGAGCCCAGTATGAGCACAAGAAACCCTTTCTCACCACTTCAGTCCAGCCAGTTCTCTCTCCTCAGCTCTAGGGAAGACTGGAGACCTTTCTAAAGTTACTCTGGGTTTAGACTAGAAGCTGAAATAGGAAATGGAGCCAGAGACAAAACTCCAGTTCCACTTTTAGGGTCAGTTGCGAATGGCCGGCTGGGAAGTGGTGGCAGATATGTGAAGGCCTTAGGAATTCAGGCCATTCAGGATGGGAGAGAGTCCTCTAGTGGCTGGTTCCAGCAGTGCAGCCTTTATGTCTAGGGCTCTTTCCCTAGGGCCATTTTGATTTAAAGGCTCCCTAGCCAGAATTGGGCCCCGCATCACAATACAACACTTTTCCGTAGATAATAATCCCAAAAGCTTTACTAACACATCGAGTACAGGATAGACATATCTAAAGTTCACAATAAGAACTGCTGAATATCCAATTTACCCTGCTTGCTGGCGTGGAGAGCCATGGGTCCACTCCACCTATGCATGGCTGGTGGAGTCAGTGGGTCACTGACTGATTTATTGATAGGTCAGTTGCTTTCTCAAGGTGCCACACTGATTAGTAATTTTATGCCTCTTTCTGCTTAATTGGGGTTTGATACTTCAGGGTAGAATGTGTTGCCTGGCAGACTCCCTTGAGGAGCCAATTATTGATCTCAACGTCACCTTTGTGGTCCACCCTCTTGGGCATCACTGTCAGTCAGCATGTGCTAACTGTGTGTGTTAGTCACAGCAAGTCTGCAGACCTTTCCAGTGAGACCTTACAGAGAAGGTCTGTACAGTTCACATACATAGCCCAATTTAGTTTACACATTTCACTTATAGAACATTCACCTAAGTTAACAAAAATCTACCATATTGTGCTAAAGAAAATGTAAACCTTCAAAGAAAAAGTATAGTGTCTTAAAAGAGTCAAGTCATTAAATTACCAGTGGCAATTTTTCTTCCTGTCATTCGACCTCAGCTTTGTTTTCAACCCATACATTCAACAAAATTTACTCTACCTCTGCCAAGTGCAGGGCATTCTGCTACCCTGTGTCTCTCCCTTTACTTCAGTTTTATGATCATCCTGAACCGCTGTTTCCCTATCTTCATGGTGCTGTCTTGGATCTACTCTGTCTCCATGACTGTTAAGAGCATCGTCTTAGAGAAAGAGTTAAGGCTGAAAGAAACCTTGAAAAATCAGGGTGTCTCCAATGTGGTGATTTGGTGTACCTGGTTTCTGGACAGCTTCTCCATTATGACAATGAGCATCTTCCTCCTGACAATATTCATTATGGTAAGTCAGATGAAGTAGGCCCAGAAAGGTTTACATATCTTTGTTTCTCCCACCTTTCTTCCTGTTCATGAACTTGTACCTGGATCTAGGCCATGAGGGATAACATGACATGTAGCTGTCTCCCCATGTTAGCTAAGCAGAAAACACAGCAGTCTTTCCAAAGAGCCATGGTGCCATAGTGTCTTCCCTTGTCCCACTTCCTGCCCAGGGACTGTTGTCCACATAGCCTTTCCAGTATCATCCTGTGGAACATCTGGAGAAGCTGCTGTTAGCGAAGTCCAGCACAGGATGATTGCATGTGTAAAGGGGTCTCGCTTTTGAAGAAAGGAGTACAAGGAGTGATTTCCTGTGATCACTATCCCCACCACCTGTTGTAGAGGGAATAGCCTTTCAGTGTATTAGAGGAGGAGACCTAGACTATTCTGTAGTTATCATCATGGTCATGTCATTCACAGGTGCAACAAAGAATATTCTTCTGCCTGCAAAACCCTCCAGATTTCTCTGTTTTGAAGGATGGCATTTGGAGGCCATCCTTTCTCAGTGATAAGGAGGTTTTAATTGCTACAGGCATGCATCATTCCATCTCCTACAAACTTGCAGTTCCCTCAAAAGTTAGACTTAGAAATAAAACATTTCCTAATACATTGCTATCCTTCATCCACAATAGATGAACTTTTGTTCTTGTTGAATGATAAGGACATAAATTTAGGTTGTTTTTTTTATCCTATTTTTATAGGGTTTGGTATGAAATTCAGACTTTTTTAAGATTCTGATATCATCTCATCAAGCTTGTTCTGCCTCTTTACCTCTCTGCATAGGCAGTTAGTGTGCTGACCCACAGACTCCAGTTAAGTGTCCAAGTTCATGCTGAACCATATACGGTGATCCAAGATCAGTGATTGACCTAATTTAAGAGTGTTCCATCATATATCCTGCCCAACCAACATATATCCAGTTAAACCAAATGCTGCTCCTTCTCTTTGTGGTGAAATGTACTGATGTGAAGGGTTTTGTTTAGTGCTGCACTTTGGTGCCGTGATCTGAGACCTTCATCAAAACCTTGTGCTGGTGCCACAGCTAAAAGAATGGTGACATCGAGCTCATTCTGCACAAACTTATCCTACACTGATGTGGTTTTAAATTTGCAAAATATCCCAGAGCTCCATAAAGATGAAGGACTTGGTTTCCTCTAAGGGCATCTTGCTCCTTACTATCTGTGTGTTCTTTTTCCCATTAACAAGATATTTTGTGTCCTGAGAATTAAAGGAATAGATGTGCATTAGCATTTGACTTTTGCTAATGCAGCAGCATGCATGACATCTTACAATGGTCATGAGAATTTGTTCAACTTGTTACTGATAAGTGACATTGAAATCTGCCTTCTGAATAATGGGCATTGGGACTTCAAAGCTTTTGGGACAATGAGGTTAAGAATTTTCACCAAGAGTTTCTTGTACAATGGTGTTTCTCCTTGTGGGAACCAGAAAATTGTTCCAGTGATGACGGAAACAGAGCTTTCCACACCAAAATAGGATTTTCTTTTGAATGACTCGCCCATCTTTCCCTTGTCCTTCCTTCCCATCTCAACTATGCAGGAAAGAAACTGGAAATTGGGACAATGGTAAGGTGCCATTGTTATGAAAGTGGCCAATAGAGGAAGCCTACACCAGCGAAATCGTTGGGTCAGCCAAGTGACGTTCCTCTCTGCCTTAAGTCAAGAAAAAAATACACTGCCCTAGGAGTCCTCAGGATTTTGTTTGACCTGGCATAAGAAATTGACTTTATTTTTCTAAAAATAGCGACAAATCATCTTAAGTTCTTTCAGCTGAAAAGTCAATTGTTCAGACATGGACTGGCTTTTATCAAGTTTTATGTGATTAAGAAAAAGGTATGAGCTTTCCAGGGTGAGGGGAAGAGCTTTTTTGGAGATCTACTTCCTAATGTTGAATTTTTTTTTTGTTTCCTCAGACTGGTTTTAGTTAAGAATGACTCTCTTCAACCCTCATTTGCCATTTGTCTTATTTCATTTTTCAAGCTGTTCTGTTACTTCCCGGCAGTCAGGGGAGTATGGATGAAGGAGAAATGGGAGCAACAGTTGAGAAGCAGTTCCATACAACTCTCTCCTGCCGTGACAGACATTGCTAATAGATAGAGCTCTTTCCTACAAGGAGCCCAGTGCCCGGGGCATCACTACCAATTGATCAGAACCCACTCAAAAGATGAACCTATTTTACCTTTATGCTGCTGAGGAAAGAACAGGCTGACCTATACATATGTCGTCATGTATAACCCCTCATATGCTGCCTATACCAAAGGAGAACCAAGGACTAATAAATTGGCACTTCTCAATTTATTCTGTAATGTAATTGAGAAGTAACTCACTTATTAAAAATAATTAGCTTGCCTTATTTTCTTCAAAGTGATTGACTCATTAGCTAGTGTGAAGGGGACTGAGTATTGCCCACAGGTTCTACGAAGTGTACTGGCATGACACTAATGGAAAGGGAGGACTAATCTACTTGCAGGTGATGTGGATTAATTGCTAATATTTCCCCCTATTTGTGAGTGACAAGTCTCAGGAAACAAGCACAAATGCTTGCATCAAGTGCAGGCCCCAGGGAAAATGCTAGAGACTATGAAATGGTTTCCACCTCCCTTTCCTTGTCCTCTTCAACTCAGTATATCCTGCAGCTCCTGAAACTCCAAGGCCCCCGTGCACATCTGTCTCAGGCTTAGTTCTGCATGCTATGCCCTTCCCACCAGCAATTACTACACTGAAAGGTAGTCTAGCGTGTTACTCTCTGGGGCAAATGGCACTCACAGGGTTAAAGAAATGACATACAGAGACTTGACTGTAGAAATTTAAACACCCGAAAAAGCTAGTGGGGAGGATGCATCCAGGATCGAGAGCTTCTGAGGGCCCAGAACCACTGCACAGAGATCCCCGCTGAGGCCGGTGTCCTAGATGCCAGTGTCAAGGACTGATTCAGGTGTGCTCTCTTTCAGCATGGGAGAATCCTCCACTACAGCAACCCGCTCATCGTCTTCCTGTTCCTGTTGGCTTTCTCCACTGCGACGATCATGCAGGGCTTCCTGCTCAGCACCTTCTTCTCCAGGGCCAGCCTGGCAGCATCCTGCAGTGGCATCATCTACTTGACACTTTACCTGCCCCACGTCCTCTGCTTCGCCTGGCAGGAACACATGACGGGCAACCTGAAGATGGCTGTGGTGGGTGACTGGGCCACCCCAGCCTTGGTGTGGCTCCTCTGAGGGGTCTAGCACAGTTTTGGAGGGCTCACGACCCTATGAGGGTGTGCACTTTGCTTTTGGGGCATGGAAGATGGAAAGGCACAGGGGCAAAGTGGAGAAATGGGGGTGGCTTCATCATGAGCCACCTAAGGGCTCTTCCTTACCAAAACTCCTTGATTAGTTGAGCCTGGAAAGAATTGTAAACCAGTTCAGTTCCTGGGTCCCTTTGTGTGTGCCCAAGAGAACAGCTAGGTCCATTTCACTCGATTTTCTTTTTGTAGTGTTTGAGAAGACTCAGAAAGGAGAGACCTTGTCCCCTGTCCCCAACCGTTCTATCTAGAAAGTTGTTTCCATAAATGAAAAGTTTATGTTTCTCTCCAAAGGAACTTGAATCTGGGTATCTACAAGTATCTTCATCACATCTGGGGTCGCAGTGGGAATTTCCCTACCTTACCTGTGTTCTTCCAAGGTTGGACACATGAATAAATTAACTCATAGATTAATAGGAGGAAAGGCCCAAATTTAATAACATATGAGTGGTGAATGTGCAGTTTTAAATTCTAAAGAATACCAGAGGGATATTTATGCTCCATTTAAGCATTTAGGACATCAAGAAGGCAAGGATGAGGTGGTGGGATCTTCACATGGCTGGCAAGAAGGGGGGACCTTATTCCTACGCTGAAATTAAAGACGAGCTTCTTAGATAGAGAAGCTTGCTCACTGATAAGCCTATATTTGGATAACACCCCTCACTACCACCAGGTTACATTCTTCTAGGTCATAAAAGAGGGACCAGCAATCACTTCACTGATTACGAAAAAGGCAGAAGCTTAGGAGTGATGATCCCTTTTTTGATTAGGAAGGGATAAGGAATTAGGCAAGGACAGAAGCTCCTCAGCCTCGGGAATTTCATTACTCTCAGCTCAAAATACTCTGCATGCCAGAGAGTTTTGAGGAGACAGGTTCTGAGAACTCAGGAGTGTCTGATTTGGGCACCTTCACATGCTATACCACTGTATGCACAAAGGGGTGCAAAAATGAGCCAGTCTTACATCAGACCTTTTCAAGAAGAAGACTCCAGGAACGGACTTGACTGCCTGTGAGCTCTGTTAGTTCAGGACTTCCAAGCTAACATCACTGTCTTTTTCACTAATTGTTTACAACACAGCCATTTCCCTCCATTTCTAAACCAGGCCAAACAGCTTCTAGGCCTTGCAGGGTACAGTTTTCTTTACCTGGCATGATCTCTCTGTACAGTTTTTATGTAAGAGGATCAAGAAGGAACCACTACCTACCTCTCACTGGGAAAGAACTAAGGTCTGCGTGGTTCTCATGACTCAACTTAGTTGGTATCAGAGCCAGGAAATCATTGTTAAATAAGAAATTGCTGCCATTTATAGCAGCCAATTTTCTAAAATGATCACAATGAGCCAGTGGTAAGAAATCCTATGACTCCCTCTGTGAGCTGAGCCAGGCTATGCTGGCGCAGTGGGTGGAGGGATGGGGCTGTTTGGCCACAGCTGGCTTCATGGGCATGTGGACCCTCCAAGAAGCTATCGTCTTGGGGGGCACATACTACATTTCCAATGACAGGGCTTCTTAATGGCTATGTCCATGAGTGTTTCTCTTCAAACTTGAATCTGGATCTCTCTACAAATGTCTTTATCATGTTTGGAGCCATGTGGGGAATTTCCCACCCATGGGATTGGTGCGAATCCAGCACAGTTGGTGCCAGAAATAGGCCTCACATGACTGCAGAGATCCTTCAGCTCCTTTTGACGTGACCATTATTCCTTCTTTTGGTCACCTTGGAATTGATCTGGGCTGAAACATTTTCACTGTTTTTTGTGAACAGGTAGCTAAGGAAACCCTTCCTTCTGCAGGGAGACCCTCTGACTTCCACCGAGAACTTACAGGGAGGCCTTTGAGCAGACAAAATGAGAGTAGCCATCCTCCTATGTGCTCAAGTGCTTTCTGCTCTGGGAAAACCACCTGTAGGGACTTGTCGACGCTTCCTCTTCAGACTTCCTTCTGCACACTTGTTCAGTTGACTTGTTCCCTCCTCAGGAACCTAAGAAAAGAAAATGATCCTCCCCAGTCTAGAGGTGGGAAAAGCTAATAGTCAACATAATCTAAGGAAGCTGTGAGACCTAGCAGGACACGGGGCCATCCACTCTCTGGCCTCCCCTGCTCTAGGACGCTGAAGAGTGTGGACACAGCTAATGGGACTCACAGAACTGAACAACTTTGTGGCTTTTTCCTACCAAAACTATGGGGTCGTAAGAAAGAAGTGGGCAAGGGGGCCAGGGAGGAAGGTAAGCCCAAGGACCTTCCGTGTGGCAGGATGTGTGATGTTTTCGTCCCCATTTCATATAGAGTATGTTTCGTGGAATAGGGGTGAGTGGTCTAGCGGGTGATGACAGGGATCCTGAGATCAGAGAGACATTTCCAGAATTCTCTTCCTGCGTGAAGGTTGCCTTAACCAAACCCCTCCCTTGGTGGCTTATACATGAACTCTATGTTGACCATTTTCCTTTTCTTTTTTTGGCCTCTCTACCTGAAGTTTGGGCATCTGGGTGTTGTGGCGATTAAAAGACACTCTGCCCATTTGTTGCACCCTCTCTGCCCCCCTGCAGAACCTGCTGTCTCCTGTGGCATTTGGCTTTGGCACTGAGTACCTGGTTCGCTTCGAGGAGCAAGGCCTGGGCCTGCAGTGGGACAATATTGGGAACAGCCCCATGGAAGGGGATGAGTTCAGTTTCCTGATGTCCATGCAGATGATGCTCCTTGATGCAGCTCTGTATGGTCTTCTTGCCTGGTACCTGGATCAGGTGTTTCCAGGTAAGGAACACCTTTCCACAGGGTAAAAGTATTTGCTTCTTCAGCTCCCAGCCCTTTCTTTCTCATTTTGTTTAAATCTCATTCTTTTCTCCTTGGTATGAATCTGAGCTCTCAGAACTAGCATTTGAAATTTAAATCCATGAGTCAAATGTCCATCCGTAATGCAGTTAACTTATTTTAAAGCAGTCCCAGGATCTGACCCTTATCACTATCTGTTTCAGCTTCCCCAGTCCAAGCCTCTTTCTTCCACCATCTTCTCCTGCGAGCCTGTTTTCCACACTGTATTCAGAGACCCTTTGGAATCTAGGTTAAATGGCTCCAACCCTGCTGTTCAAATCCCTCCAGTATTGAGTTTTCTGCTTGTTCAGTGTGAAAGCTAGCACCCAGCCCTGGCATGCAAGATGAGCCATTATTGGTCCCAGCTGTCTTCCTCCCCTCCTGGCCTTCCCTTCTCCCCATGTTTTTCTGCCCCAGCCACTCTAGCCTCCTTAGTGACTATCGATATGTTAAGACATTCTTCCTCAGGACCTTTGCACCTGCGGTTCACTGCCTGGAGCTTGCACTCATGTACACACACACACACGTGAGCGTGTCCCTGCAGACTTGCTTCCTTACTTTGTTCAGACCTCTATAATCAGCTGCCCCCTGTCACTAGCATCTTTTCAGAATAAAAATATCTAAATGTTTATTCCTTTATAACTACCATTCCTTCGGGGCTTCTGTCCTGCTATCCTACTTCATTTTTGAAACATCACCATCTGGCATGATGTATCTTTCCATGCCAGTGCACTGACTCTCTGCCCTTAGTGAAAGATGGGCCCATGGTCCACTGTGCTCACTGTCAATGTGTTAGTGCTCAGAATAGTGCCTGACTTTTGGAAGATGCTGAAACCTGATCTGCAGCATAGAAAGTCAGTTCCCAAATCAAAATCCGTTATTTGCACAGTTTAGCATTGCCTTTGTTGAAATCAAACTTTCCTTCAAGTTATTGTTTCCTAATAGCTAGAGACGTCTTGCTTCTGTGTGAAGGGCCTCAAGCCAACCACCCACCACATTGCGCTATGGCAGCTGGGACCTAGTCTTGGTACCATGAACTAGGAGCAGGCGTCGGGGGCGGGGGGGACGAGGAGAATGAGGCTGGGCCAGGTACTTGGGGAGTCCAGATGAACTCAGGCTTTCAGGTCATTTCAGGGCAGACTTTTGTCAGCAGAAATATAGAGACAGCATCCCTGGTGCAGGAGAAAGGTTGCTAGGCTGGGTCAGGAGAGCTGGCTCTGGACCCTAGCTGTTGACTATATTAGTTTCTACGGCTGCCATAACAAAGAGCCACAGCGAGAGTGAAAACAGCAGAAATGCTCTGTCTCACAGTTCTGGACGAGGAAGCCCCAAACCAAGGTGTTGGCAGAATCACACTCTCTCAGAAACCTGTAGGCGGTGATGGATCCTCTCTTGTCTCTGTCTAGTTCTTGATGGCTTTTCATGGTCTTTGATGTTCGTGGCGACACATCCCTCATGTCCTCTGTATCGTTCTCCTGTGTGCCTATCTCTACACAGTCCCCTTCTGATAAGGACACCAGTCTTACTAGATAGAGACCACCCATTCCAGTGTAACATACTCTTCACTCTCTGATCCCATCTACAAAGACAGTTTCCAAATACACCACCTGCTGTGGTGCCAAGGGGTGGAACACTGGCGTCTTCCTGCTATCGCTTCCAATACTGAATGTGTCTTTCTCCCAACACCAGCCCTTTCTCTGGTACCAGATGGGTATCCAGCACTTGGACTTAATTCTGACAGTAACTGCCTAGAATCAGGGCCCTCCCTACAGCTCAGTTCTGCAAGACTGCTTCCCCTTCAGATGCCTGTCACAGAGGCGGGGCCCATACTTGTCCAGCTGATCTTAAGTTGGAGGATTCTCACAACTGCTCCTCATGTTCAGTAATTCACTGGAACAGCTCACAGAAATCAGGGAAGTGGTCTACTTAACAATTACATCTTTATAATAAAGAATACAGCTCAGGAACAGCTGAATGAATGGGTGAGGTGGGCACAGAGCTTCTACACCCCTCTGGGGCCCTAGCCTCCTAACACCTCCCTAGGCTCTCCATCCTAGAGGTCCCCAGAATCTCATTGTTCAAGAGCTTTTATAACCCAGTCTCCAGCCTCCTCCCATTCTCTCTTGATGTGCTTGGTTTTTCTGGTGACTGCCCCCCTTAGGAAGTATCTAGGGACCCAGACTGTGAGTCACCTCATTAACATAAGCTCAGTTATGGTGGAGAAAGGGCTTCAGATGAACAATAAAAAGCACTCCTAATATCAGGAAATTGCAAGGGTGTTAGGACTTTTGTGCCAGGAGCTGGGAGTAAAGATGCAGTGTATTTTACAGTAGTCCATACCTAAGAATATGCTTTTTGGGAGAAGGTTGCAGGCAGCACACAATCGATCCCAAAATAGGGACTTTGAACAATATACTTGCCCTTGCTCAGCTGCAGGAACTTTTTTATTTGGGTCCTTGGAAGAAGATATAAATTAAAAATTACTTGGATTTGGGGCCCTCCTTGGTGGCACAGCGGGTTAAAGCACAGCACTAAGAAGTTAAAGCCACTTCTGCATGAGTTCAATCCCCACCTGCCCTGGAGGTGACCCACTTGGCGTGGGCAGACCTCTCCTGACACAGCCGCTGCTCCCCTCAGCAGTGTACTATTCTGCTGTTCTGCTCCCCACTCTGTCTCTGGTGAATCCTCTCACCACCCCTGCACCTCCGGCTTATACCCCAGTTCTGTATGCACAAATAAATAAATCTTTTTTAAAAAATTACTTGGATTTAACATTAGATGCATACATAATTCAATACCTTATTTTAATGGAACTAAACCTTTAATTTATTCAACTGATCAGCACCTGTCAGGTGATAGCAGATAGTGACAGCAAAACAGACTCAGCCCTTGAGCAACTTACAGATTAGCATAGACCATGAAACAGGATAACTATTAAATAAGCCAAGAGAGTGTCCTAGAAGAAACAACCTTTTAAGGGAGTAAGATTTGTTAAGAGAAGTAGACTGAAAATTTGGGGATCTTCTTGAATGCCACACATACCCAGTAGACTGGGTGGGCTACCATCCGAAGTTACCCATGTTGGAATTTCCACACCTCTACTTAATTCACTGTGACCTTGGCAGCGGATTCTAACTCTGTGTACCTTAGTTTCTTTATCCACCAAAATAAAAATATTAACTGTCCCTTAGGTTGCTTTGGGGAGTCAGTGATTTAACACATGGAAAGGGCTGACAGTAATGCCTGCCACAAAAGCACCCAAAAGTCTTAGTGATCATCATCACTGGTATTACATGGTGACTGTTGAAAAGAGCATGATTTAATTCTTGAAAGAGATGCGTCCTTAGACAATGATGCCAATTTAGATTATCCATCTTGAGGTTACCAAAACCATGACTTTTTGAATTTAAAAATTTCAGAAGGAATGGGCTCATGGTAGGATGTGAATAGCTAGCTGGGTAGTGGTTTGTGAATTTTAAAGACTTACAGTAATGATCTGATACATTTTAAATCTTGCAGAAATGTGGGAGGGCAGGGCCACCTAGGCTTTTTCTCTTGTCTATTTTAGGGGACTATGGAATCCCACTTCCTTGGTACTTCCTTCTGCAAGAGTCCTACTGGCTTGGTGGTGAAGGTGAGTTATCTTAAATTGTTTTTAAAAAAACTCTCAATGTTTGAAACTACTTCTTTGGCTATGCACAGAATGTGTGTGGCTCTTCTACCAAAGTGTATGGTTCCCAATTTATTACTTGCCTCCTGGCAGCTCTGCCATGGCATTTGGGGGTACAGCAGCACAGCCTCAGGGGCCACATATTGTGAATCATTAGACCAGGGTGATTAGCTGAGCACTGATAAGCCTTATGACCAGCATAACTTGAGCCCAGTGGATTAAATCACCCCAATCAAAGACCAGCCCAATTCAGGGTGCAAGTATTTTGCAATTTTTCAGATTATAGCAGAGACCCAGAGAATCAGGAAAGGACTTTTGCCTTTGTCTCCTGTTGCTTCTATCCTGCTTTTTGATGCCTCTCCACCTTTTCAAAACATAAATAAATTCATTCTCCCAAAGGAAAGTCTTACCTAGGGGCTGGGACAGTGCTGTGATCTTTAAGACAAAAACTCCTAGTCTCTCCTTGTCTTGATCTTTTCTGCGGCTGGGAAGAGTGCTGAAAGAACATTGCCCAGAATGGATCTTGGATAAAACTTAGCTTTCTTACTGAACAAGACAGGAGGCCAACAGAGAGTTCCAGACATGGGGGAAACCACAGACTCTTTTTGTGAGGTATCAGAAAGCAAAGACATTCCAGAGTTGAGGTCTAGGGGCTCCCCTGGAGCTAGGAGGTTCTGGAAGCAAAAGAAATACTTTCCAATCTGTTTGTTCCTCACCTACCTGCTCTTTGCTTTGTATTATTGGGCCTGAGCCAGGGTTTGTCCTTTAAGCACGGAGGTAGATGTTTGTTTTCTCTTGGGGATTAGCCTAGGGCCTTTAAAAGGCTTTGGGTGGGTTTCTTTCTTTCTCCTGCTTCAAACAAATAACACTTGGACAGCTCAGTAGTTTTCCATTATGTTGGTGGGTCTGCCTTGTCAATCTGTTAACTTTTACATTTCTACAATAATCAAGTTACAATCTGTCATAATTGGGGATTTTCAACATAAGAATATGTTCCTGGAATGTTTCTAACTTCAATGAACAGCACTTGTGAGCTTTTTTTTTTTTTCTCTACAATTTCAGCAGATACCTCTGATTCCAAAAAAATTTTAAGTGTGCATTTTCCAAAATGAATCACATATATTATTGCTGACAGAAGTCAAATATTTTTCACCTGTCCCACAGGCTAGACTGAAACAGATTCCTAAAGTTCTTTAAAATCAGAAAGGAGCTGAGTGTCTCCACCTATCCCCCACCCTCCCAAACCCTTCACAGATGCAGAAATGGAGCCCAAGACACTCAGTGTCTTGTCAAGTGCTCGCTGGTCACTTGGGTCAAATTCTGGATCCAGAACATAGATGACTTGGCTAGGAATTCACTCCAATGACTAGCAGTTTGGAAGAATATTCCTCCCTGTCATTTTATGGGAAAGGGCTATAGATTCTTGGGGGTGGTTGGAGGGGGAGGCATCTGAGGAGATATGAAAACTGTTCTTTATATCATACATAGTGTTATAACCAACAGTATCTCAAGTTTTAAAAACTACCCTTCAGGAAGCAAAATTTAGAAGTATCAGAGGCAGCGGGGTCCCAGTTACTGGATACCCACCACACATCCCGCAAATGTGTGATGTGGACAGAGAGGCCTGGTTAGCTGCTGCTTTAAAAACCTCACCCTGCGCATGTGTGCACTTGAGCCTTGAGATGCTTGGCGTCTGCAGTTTCCTCCTCCCTTGCTTTCCTCTCTGGCTGGCTCGCTCTTCTGCTCCTCTTCCCTTTCCAGGATGTCCTGAGGTCCTTTTAAACCAAATGACAAGTTTACCCCCCAAAAAAACCCTTATGTGTGTATGTGCGTGTACTCATGATAGGAGAATGTGTGTTGACACGACACTTTCCAATTTATGTAGGCCTATACTTAAACCAAGCTGAACTCTGCTGTTAACCCCCCAATATCTGAATCTCCATAGAGGTGGCTTTCTCAGCTAAGTCTTTCCTAGGTCTGTAATTTGAGCTGGCTGAATGGCATAGCACCTCGAATGGACTTTTTCTCAAGGTTCACCTTGACTTTAACATGCATTAGACTGGAAGTGAAAGCCTAACCCCATTGTAGATTCAATCCTGGTTTAGTTAGCTTTCTGTTTTTAAATCATGAGTTCAGACATTGTGGGCCCCTCCTGACATATTAAGAGGGTGAGGTAAAACTCCGGTTACAAAACACCCTGAGCTTAGCGAAGATTGCACAACCGTCCATCTGGGAGGCACCACTGGCCACTCTCAGAACACTGCTCAGCCTTGTAGTTCAGGGGCTGGCAGGGCCTGGCTCGGGGCTGGCTTTGGGGAATGCTGACTTGGCCTTCTGAAGGAACTGTGTTTCCCATTTATGGTAGAAGCCTCTGCCCCTCTTCTCTCCTCCTTTCCTACCTTTACTGAGTCTCAGCTCTCACCAAGAGAGTAACACTGACTTCTGGTTGATGCAGGGTGTTCAACCAGAGAAGAAAGTGCTCTGGAAAAGACTGAACCAGTAACAGAGGAGATGGAGGAGGACCCAGAACACCCACAGGGAAGAAATGGTAAAAACCCGAGTAGAGAAGATGTGGGGTGAAACTCTGAACACCGCAAAGTTCCAGAACAAAGCAGCTTGGGGTTGGGGTGACGGGAAGCCCAGGAAGTAAATTTTCCATAGACAAGGGTTAAACCCAAGAGCTTCTCAAGAGTCCAGCTGCACGTGTGCAGAATGAATGGTCCAGCCAGACATTAACACATATTTCCTGGAGAAAGCAAATCCAAAGTATGTTGTGTGTTTGTGCCCTTGTTAGGCAAATCCCAAGTGAATTGAAGAAATGTGCTGACTTCCGAGGATTTAGCAAGAACAATAACTTGGGTCACTGAGACTTAAAGCGGATATGAGCTATAAGGAAAGACAAAAATAAAAGCTTCTGTGCACACGGGGAACAGGTCTAGAGGAGCTGACGGCTCTTCACTCACAGTTTACAAAGCTAGCAGTCCATTCACTCAGGCCATCAGCTGCCTTTCCTGACCATGAAAGTTACCTAATAATTCCTGAACAAGTGCTCTAGACTTTCAATGTCTCCTTGGCTTTTGCTGCCCTCAGTCCCCAGTCTCTCCTCCCCAAGCATCTGTCTTTCACTGTGGATTCTGAAATGTTCTTGTTGTCTTCACTTGGGGCTTACAGAGGCAGCGTGGCCTCTGGACTTTGCCTGACATGGCGCGAAAAGGGTCAGCCTCCACACCTCTGGCCAGTCCAGGTGCCATTTCACAGAGCTGAGGTCAGTGACCCCAGACACCTCAGAAAGCACATTTGCAGTCAACAGTGCTTTTGGGAAGACTCTCCTCAGAATGGAATTCCAAAGCCAAAATCAGGGTTTTGTGGGCTGGTTCCATTGCAGTTACAGGTGAGGCTGAGAGCCAGTGATAAAAGAAGCATTGGGATGTTTTCAACAGGGACCAAGTGAGCTACAATATTAAGATAACAAGTTAATAGTGCTCTGGAGTGTGAACTAAAGCAGGGAATGACTGGGAACCAGGAGAAAGAAGACACTATGTTAGTGGGGTAAGGGGGTAGAAAAGTGGAGGGGTAGCGTGAGGAACTGTGATGAGGAAGAGTGGACTCTCCCACCCAAGTAGTTGGAGAAACTCAGGAGTTTTAAGGAGCAAGAATTCAAGTTTCGTAAAAGTTGACTCTAAGATCAGAACCAAATCTAAGAGTCCAAGAGAAAGGCAGTCCCAGGAATGGACTTGGGAGAGTCTACAGGAAGAGGAGGAGGGGCCAAAAACCATAAGGAAACACCATACAGACCCTTGGAAATGAGGTCTTGGGACTGAGGGTGGAGCAAAGGGCTCATTTTCCATATCGATCTGTGAGTGTTGGTCGAGCCCCAGCTCTGCTACGTGAACCATGTGCCCTTGACTGAACACTTACATTTCCTCATTTGTAGACATGAATGTAATAATACCTGTCTCCCACCTCCAGCACTATCACCGGGTCAAGTGGTGGTGGGGGAATCCATATAAAACACCCCAATCAATGTCAAGTACATAGCAACTGCTCAATAAACATTAGATACTGTTATATACATTACCATTCTGTAGTGGTCTTTTCAGAGACCACTGTAGCTGAAGTTGAAGGGTAGAAGACAATGGATTGAAGAAACAACTTCCAACAGGTCTATTAAGGAAGCTTTGCTTCACGTTCATTCTTTTCTCCCCTAGACTCCTTCTTTGAGCGTGAGCTCCCAGGCTCCAGTCCCGGGATATGTGTAAAGAATCTAGTAAAGACTTTTGAGCCCTACGGCAGGCCAGCTGTGGACCACCTTAACATCACTTTCTACGAGAACCAAATCACCGCATTCCTCGGTCACAATGGAGCAGGGAAAACTACCACTCTGTGAGTCTTTGACCAGTGGAGTCTGGCATCTTTGGGTTATAGTCTTCTATTGTGCTGAGTTTAATGACAAAACATTACTCTGTATCTGTGTCCTAAGAATGTGTAAAGCGCACTGCAGAAATCAAAGCTCGAAGACACATAGTTTTATTAAATGTGCACCAGAAGTTGGAGAGGCAGGTTAAAGTAAGTTTATTCCCCTTTTACGTGTCAAGGACAGCAACCTTCCCGAGGTCACCAAGTTGTAAAGGTTCATAGGGTCAAGAGCCAAGTCCTGCCTCAGTGGCCTCTTATCTCTGACATTGCGAGCCCCCCTCCCACCCACCCTCTCCAGGGTTGCACGGGGACAGGGGGATAAAGTAAGTCATGGCCGCCACCATCCCTGCCCAGTGGGGAGACACTACTCATTTCACAGAGCATTCCCTTCCTACTTATGAGGGCTGATGGTCGTTCCAGAGAAAATTAAAAGGATACAGTCTCTAGGGAAGTCCTCTGGGGTAAGAACAAGCGATTGAAAGCCAAGTTCAAGGATATTGAAGGCTCAACTCAGGAAACTCCCAGGCTTTTCTAAGGGACATAGGCGCCATCTGCTGAGAAAGGGATCACAGTGGGGGGGAGGTTTCCCAAGTTGCAGCCAGAGTACCCTCTCAAGGGGCAGGAAACCCTGGTGATACACAGGCTTCCAGTCCTTTGGCTTCATGCAGGCCCCAGGAAGGAATAGCAGTGTACACCCTGCCCTGGAATGTTCTCTGAGGGTGGTTCGTGTGAATGGAATGTAGGGCCAGTGCCATTCTATTTGGTTCTGTTTCCCTCTAGCGGCTGATGAACAGAAATTTCATCTCCTAAGTACAAGTTCACATGGCCTGGACAGCGCTGGGTGGGGCAGCACAGGCCAGTCTGATTTCTCTCCTTGCTAACTAATATGGTCAGAGTCCAAAGTTCCATCCAGGACCCCGGGGCTTCTCAAAGACAAACACATTATCTCATTGACCTGGAAATTAAACACCGCTGAGTATTGAAACACGATGTTTAATAAAATAGTAATAGGATTTTTGAGTCTTGCTGTATGCAGCAGTCCTATGTGCTTCACAGATTAACTCAGTTAATACTCCCCACAGCCCACGGCCCCCGCAAGGTAGGAGTCCTTTTTTCTCATTTTACCAAAAAAAAAAAAAAAAATCCAACATTGCCAGTGAACATGTTATACATTGGACCCAAAGATGATATGATTGGTGGTAATTTCCATGTCTGCCTTTAACCAGTTACGCCACAAATTCATATTGCAGGCCTGGGCTGCTGAACCATCACTAAGATCTCCCCTGTGCTTTGTAATGGGGACTCAGGCTAAGCATGACCCTTGCACACAACACCTGTTATTGAACCCCCAGAAAGCCAGGGGCTGTGATGGCTGCGTAGGGGCGGGACCTTTGGCCCTAGATGAATATTCTGTAGTTGGGACTCAGCAGACCCACCTGGGAGCCCTAGGAATGAAGTACAGGCAGGCAAGGAAGACACATGTGGTCCAGGCATCAGGGCCCACATGGTGGGAAGCCCGGTAGGTCCCCACAGCTAGCAAAGGCTTGGCTTCAACTGGCAGGGACTGTGAGGGTCCTCACCCATCCTGGGCAGGGGCTGCCGTTCCAATGGGCTCCTGTAGCCCATCTAGCTGCGACTCATTCCCCTCTGGCAGGTCCATCCTGACGGGCCTGTTGCCACCAACGTCAGGGACTGTGCTCATCGGGGGAAAGGACATCGAAACCAGCTTGGGTGCCATCCGGCCGCGCCTTGGCATGTGTCCACAGCACAACGTCCTGTTCCAACAGTAAGTAGCACAGGAATGGAGACCTTTCCTGGCTCCAGCCTTCGCCCGCCCCCAAGCCCAGCCCGGGGCTGCCAGATCTGGGGGTAGGATATTCCTGTGGTGGTGTTCCCAACTGCAGGACCTTTATCCTGTTGGTCGTAAGAAAACCCTGTGCCTGTTGCCACTGAGGGCTGTGGTCTCTCCTCAGAGAACCATGCACCTTCTCTCTGATACGGGCTGATGCTAGAGCCACTTGCTCAACCCCAAAGTTCTCTATCCTGGGACCAAGTGACAGGACCATTGTTCCTTTCCCCTCTTAAGCCACTAGTTTAAAAAAAACCAACTGTTCAGGAGGCTTTCCATCATTAACTTTTGTTACTTAGCTGAAGAAAGGAAGGAAGGAAGAAACAGAGGGAGGGAGGAAAGAGGGAGGGAATAAAGATTAAAACAAGAAAGTAAAATCACCTATAATTCTTCACCCAGAGATCACCACTGTTAACACCTTGATATATAACTTTTCAGAACTTTCTCCTATGCACATATAAATATATGTGTGTGATTTAAAAATGACAAAGGAGGGCAAAATTATGCATACAGTTTTATAACCTACCACTTTTAAAAATGTGGTCACTTTTTAAAAAATTTTATAATAGTTTATTTTTACATATTTTTGTGCATTTTTCCATCTCAGTTTTAATCCCCCTGGGCTTCCCATCACCAAATCACCCGTGTGCCATCACCATATCCAGTGCATTTCCTTCCCCCCACTGTTTTTGATCCCATTCCCCACTTCATCCCCACAAAATGTCTCTGATATACAGCTTTTCATCATTATCATTATTTTCTCGCTGGTCACTTTTTTTTTAAACCTAAGATATCATGAACTGGATATTCTTCTGTAAAATGACTTCTGCTGTTTGCATACCACACCATTGAATAAATGAGCTATTTAAGCAATCCCAGCCCTGTTAGCCCAACTGTTGTGGCAGGGTATATTCTGGGTTTTGCTCTTGTCTGCCATCACAAGGAAGATCTTGATGCTAAACCTGCACACTCTGCCTCCTGTTTCTGTAAGACAAATCTCCCTGTCCCCACAGCCTCACCGTGGCTGAACACATCGTGTTCTATGCGCAGCTGAAAGGCAAGTCCTGGCAGGCGGCGCAGCTGGAGATGGAAGCCATGTTGGAGAACGCAGGCCTCCATCATGCAAGGAATGAAGAGGCCCAGAATCTGTCAGGTACTTGTGCTGAAAAAAGTCAGGACTGCAGGTGGCAAACCAGTGTTTCCCCCTATGGGGACAGCGTCAGGGAGACCTACAACAGGACAGCCCCAAAGTTCTTCTAAGCTCCCAGAGGAACCTTCCCTGGGTCACTTCCCGTATGGGATGCTGTCTTGCAGCCTGGGCTGTCTCCATGCTGATGTTCATGTATTGGAACTAGAACATTCCATCCAAGGCAGGGATTGCCTTTTCTGCATTTACAACACTGTGCACCACTAGGTTTTTGGACCTTGTGTAAACATCTTAGGAGACAGCATCAAACCGATGCTGGATTTAAGGTACCCTCTTAGGCCCTGGCCTGTCCCCCACAGCCCTGTGACCTCCCACCTCATATCTCCAGGGGGCATGCAGAGGAAACTGTCTGTCGTCACTGCCTTCGTGGGAGACTCCAAAGTGGTGATTCTGGATGAGCCCACTGCCGGGGTGGACCCCTACTCGAGACGCTCAATCTGGGACCTGCTGCTGAAGTATCGCCCAGGTAATGGCCTCTGCTCAGTGCTCTGTGTTCCTGCTGTGCTGTGTGGTCCCTACTCTCAAACCTGATGTTTGCAACTGAGTATAGGAACAGCTGTAACTACACTCAGCTGGAGCTTTATCAGCAACTCAGGTGAATCAAAGTTCCAGGTAGCCTCAGGAGATCTTTATACAAACACAAGCTGGAATCTCCCCTCCCAGGAATATTCTAGAAAGGCCTCTCAGCCTTTAGCCCTTGTGTCTGAAACAGCAAGGACAGCAGTGCACTTTTGTCTAAGTCTTGTTTGACTAAGGAAATCCAGGTCACCTATAAACATCCCAAGAAGTTCCAGAGTGACCAGAGGACCCCTGGGGGCCAGGAGTGAGGGCAACCTGCCTGTGTGTTCCATCTACAGAAGGAAATGTCTCAAAATGGGACATCCTTCCTCCTCCATGGCACCTGGAGCCAGAGAGTACAGATGCAAAAGAGGCACCAAGCAGAATTCAGAGTTCAGAGGGCCCCCAAAATGAAGGCATGGTTCAATCCCGTGGTTGGCTTGCCCTCCTGGAGTCCTCATGACTGTCCTCTTCCTGACGTCTCAGTTTATATAAAAATGTGTGGCTATGTGTTTGTGCTTTCAAAGATTATACTGCAATGCTTAATGACCGAGAGAACACTTACATATGTGGAATTCAGTAGATGTGGGCTGAAAAGAATAAATGCCCCACACCGGGTGATTGATTGCAATCGGGTCCTCTCCCTGATAAAAGATCTGGATGTTACCATACTTTACAGCATGCAGGCTGCGGTAAAATACTAGCTGTGGTCGCTATTGTTACCGTAACCTGGACTTGGCTACAGAATACTTGTTTTTGTTTAATAGCTCACAGTTGTTGCACCCATGGAGTGGGAGGTGGCTGTACATCCTCCCCGCCCCAGCCTGGCACCACCCGCGGTGACACCCTGGCCCTCCCTCACAGGCAGGACTATCATCATGTCCACCCACCACCTGGACGAGGCCGACCTCCTCGGGGACCGCATTGCCATCATTTCCCAGGGCAGGCTCCGCTGCTCCGGCACCCCGCTCTTCCTGAAGAACTGCTTCGGCACAGGCTTCTACCTAACCTTGGTGCGCAAGATGAAAATCATCCAGAGTCAAAGAAGAGGCTGTGAGGTACGGGCCAGCCCAGGGCAAGCCCGTCCTAGGTGAGCAGGAGCACACGCATGAGGCAGGGGCCGGCAGGGATTCTTCAGCTGGGCTCTCGCTCCAGCTTTGACCTCCTTGTTTCTGGAATCATTTAAGATTTTTGACAAAGGCACATTTCAAATCCTGCTACAAGGAGGGTCTACCTCAAATGAAACCACTCGTTTTAAATGCCCCTGAGTTTAGGTGTTATTATATTCCAGAACCCTATACTACCCGGGGGTGGTGCAACATCAAAGTGAGTCTGATTCTGCAAGATTGCACTGTTAGGAAGGGTAAAGGTCGAAGTTTTCTTTTTTCCACTCCAATTTTGTGCCCCAGATTCCACTGGTAACGGAAAGCTCAGAGAAAACTCCTCGGGAACTGTAAGCTGAAAATGATGAAGCCAAACCTTGCAACCAGGAGAGACCCCCTTGGTGTGTGGGGAGACCCGGCTCTTCCTGGCTGCCAAGCGGACGAGCTGTCATCCCAGACAAATTACTTAATTTCTGGGTGTTGGCAGTGTTTTTCCACACGGAAAATGAAAGTGATTATCTCTGCTCCTGCTCCTGTTTCTGCGAGATGTAGTGAAGATGAACGAGATAAAGGATAGGAATGTGCTCTGCGCCCCTTCAGAACAGGCACTGCTCATATTCTAGTAGTCACGCTTATCATATTGGAGCATTATTGATGCCGCAACCTCTGTGGGTTAAGTGTCTGCTGCTTCTGGGTTTTCCTGCCCTGGGTAGATTTCCACCGCCCGGTGTGCAGCCAGGGGCCGGGAGGAGCGGAAGGGCCTACACAGGCCGGCTGACAGCCCTCACATAATTAGTGACAAAGCAAAGTGAGACTGCTTCTCTCTAGGCCTGACTCACACACTCTCCAGGATAAAATCAAACTAACACACCCTCAACATGCTCTGATGAAGTAATCGATTAAAATGGTGATGCAAAGATGTATTCGCCACACTGGGCAGTGTGAAACAAACAGCATGGTGATGATGGCAGGTGGCACAGGGAGAGGCTGCCACTGACATGATGGACGTCCTTCTGTTGTAGGGGAGCTGCAGCTGTGCATCGAAGGGTTTCTCCATCCGATGTCCAGTCTGTATGGACACGATAGCTGCAGAACAAGTCTTGGATGGTAAGGACTCGGGGCTCCGGCAGGCCTACCTCGGCTCTGGTCTGGCTGTGGTCTCTATTGTTGGGTGTGTGCTATTGTGATGCATTTAAATTGGAGCCCAGAGGAGACTCCATCTACTTCCCAAGCTCATGGCCACGCAACTAACTGCTCTTTTTCTTAGAGCACTGTTTTTCCCTTCCATGCCCAAAGGGATTTGAAAAGTCAGGATCTGAGAATTTTCAGCCTATAAGGAGGAATCCAGTCTTTGTGCACTCTACCCCCTTGCCCGGTATGCGAGTTTTCAGCCCAGAAGTGCCCCAGGTGACACCCTCTGGTGGAGCCAGGGTGACATAGAACCCTCATGAAATTTTCCAGAGTCACATTGCATTGTGTGGAAGTGAAGTCTACAAAATATTTGCATATTCATGTTACACTGTTCAGCTTCTCAATTTTCCAGAAATTCTCTTTTGGATTAAGGTGCATTAGATTTCATTAGGGTGTCTACCACCTCCAGGGAGATGCTGAATAGAGGTAAAGCTGCCAGCTGAGGACAGCATCTTACCTCAGGAAGTGCTTGCCAGCAACCCTTTCCAAGCCCCAGGCCTGTGACTTTGCAAGTGAAAGACCCCACACACCCCCAAATCTCTCTCGATGGGAGCACAACTGAACCTACTGCTTCAGGTTGATGAAGGGAGAAAGTATCTGCTTATCAAAAAGAAAACAAAGTTTGCTCCCTATTAAGCACAATTTTTTTTAAATGTGAAGAATTTACTAAAATCTGAGGAAACAAGAGAACCAGTCAATATTTATGTCTTATGCTTCAATTTTGAGGAAAACTGTTAGTGTTTCATCATACTTTGTCTCTCCTCCTCTTTGTATTGATGGAAACTGTGAGAGACAGAACATATCTTTGTAAGATAGTTCTGGATCTTTTTGCCTAGCCTATCATCCTGTGGCAAAGCCTCCCTCTCTGCTTTCTGAAGTTTCCTCCCAGGAGGGATTTTGAGGAAAACATGTATCATTTTGATTAGCATGATCCACCCAAAAGCTAGCTGGAAACAGGCTGGAATGGTTCTTTGAAACAAGTTACTTCACTTCTAGAAATTTTCTTTGGCTAAAATGAGGATGCTGAAAGGTGGAAATGCAGTTAGTAGTTATGCCTTAAATGAGAGAAGGAAGGTCATGCTAATCTCCAGTTAGCTCCCTGGAGAGGTTTGCTCACACACGCCTACATGCCACACACACTCTCCGAGGCCTTCCAGATGCGGACAGTGCCCTGCATCGTGGACTGCCTCAGGAAAGGCTAAGTCGCACATCTAAGACACAATTCCTGGGAATCCAGCGGCTTCAGGCTTGATTTCCTTCCTAAGAGAACAATGAACATGACCTCTAGAGAGCCCTTAGGACAGAGCTGCTTCCTAGCCAGGACCCTGAGGCCTCTGTATGAAGTCATTTCTGAACTGAAGACAACTGAGTCTGATTTTCAGGTTTCACATAAAACAAGCCTGTCAACCCAGTTTAGCACAAGAATTTTGTGTGAAAATCATAAAATCCTTCCATCTGGGTAATTTTTTTTTTATTTTAAGATTTTTTTTCCTTGAAGTTGCATTGGTTTAGAATCTATAGGCTTCAGGACCCTCCATGGTGGTGCAACAGGTTAAAGCACACCTCTACGAAGCTAGCTGCAGCCACATCGGCATGAGTTCAATCCCTTGCCAGGGAGGTGACCCTTATGGCACACCCCTGACACGCCTGCTGCTCCCCTCAGCAGTGTGCTTTGTTAGTCTGCCTATTCTGCTTGCCACTCTGTCTCTGGTAAATCCTTCCACCCTCTCTGGCCTGTACCCCAGTTCTGTATGCATAAATAAATAAATCTTTATTAAAAAAAAAATCTATAGGCTTTAGTATCAGTAGCCCCTACATTCTGATCCCCAACAAAAGTCCAGTTTCCTGGCCCTCCCTGGTGGCGCAGCGGGTTAAAGCACTGCACTGAGAAGCTAAAGCCACTTCCGCATGAGTTCGATCCCCGCCTGCCCCGGAGGTGACCACATGGCGTGGCAGGCCTCTCCTGACCCACCCGTGCTCCCCTCAGCTCCGTCGATCTGCCTGTTCTGCTCCCCCCTCTGTCTCTGGTGAAGCCTCTCACCGCCCCTGAGCCTCTGGCCTGTACCCCAGTTCTGTATGTACAAATAAAATAAATCTTTACAAAAAAAAATTATTTATTTGTACATACAGAACTGGGGTACAGGCCAGAGGCTCAGGGGCGGTGAGAGGCTTCACCAGAGACAGAGGGGGGAGCAGAACAGGCAGATCTACGAAGTACACTGCTGAGGGGAGCAGCGGGCGGGTCAGGAGAGGTCTGCCACGCCATGTGGTCACCTCCGGGGCAGGCGGGAATCGAACTCATGCGGAAGTGGCTTTAGCTTCTCAGTGCAGTGCTTTAACCCGCTGCACCACCAGGGAGGGCCCTAAATAAATCTTAAAAAAAAAAAAAAAGTCCAGTTTCCCTCCACCATACAATTGATTCTCTTTACTGGATTTCCCCAGCCCCGTACTTCCCTGGTGACCCAGTTTTGTTCTCATAATCTTCAAGTTTACTCTTGTTATCTTTCCTCATGTTTTAAGTTTCAGGCATACAGCACTGTATATAGATACCTGTGCTCAGTATATCCTATTGCCACCAGCCGCTTCGTCTCCATCTTCCACTGGACAGTTTGTCCCCTTTATCCGTTTTATGTGGCTCCCTCCAATCCTTTTTTTCCCTTCTGGTAACCACCATTTTGTTGTCAGAATCTGAGGGTTTGTTGTTTTGTTTTGTTCATTCCTTTGCTTTGGTTCTTTATACTGGGAAAAAAAAATGTGTTTTTGTGGTTACCATGATAGTCAAATATAACTTTCTGTGATGTTCTGTGTTATATGTATCTTCTAACTAATTCTTGCAACTTTAGTTACTATTCCTATTTTTTGCTATTTAATTTTTATGCTTCCTTTATATATGATTAATCTGCTACTTCTACTATACAGATATAGTTTTTCTGGGGAGATTTGTTCATAAGTATGTGTTCTGGATGCTTGTTATTTCTTTTCCATGTAATATTTCTTGCGGACACATTCTGTAGTGTCTGTTCCTATAGCTTTTGTTACTTTTTTTTTTTTAAAGATTTATTTATTTATTCACACGGAACTGGGGTACAGGCCAGAGATACGGAGGGTGAGAGGATTCACCAGAGACAGAGCGGGGAGCAGAACAGGCAGATGGAGGAAATACACTGCTGAGGGGAGCAGCGGGCCGGGTCAGGAGAGGTCTGCCACGCCATGTGGAGCTCCTCCCAGGCAGGCGGGGATCGAATTCATGAGGAGTTGGCTTAAGCTTCTTAGTGCAGTGCTTTAACCCGCTGCGCCACCAGGGAGGGCCCGCTTTTGTTACTTTTAATCTTTCCTTCAATATTAAATGTTAACTTTCTGGTCTTTTTGTTGTTGTTGTTTGTTTGTTTTTCCTTTCAGCACATTGAACATGTCTTGCCATTCTCTTCTGGTCTCTAAAGACTCTATTGAAAAGTCTGCTGATAGCCTTCTGGGTTTTCCCTTATATATTACAAAAGGTCTTTCAGTTTTTAAATTCTGTCTTCATCTGTTGCCATTTTGGTTTTGGTGTGGATCTTACTGTAACTCCTTTACTTGAGTGTCTGTTTCCTTCCTCCAATCAGATTTTTGCCTTTTTTTTTTTAAGATTTATCATTTATTTGTGCATACAGAATTGAGGTACAGGCCAGAAGTGCAGGGACGGTGAGAGGCTTCACCAGAGACAGAGTGGGGAGCAGAACAGGCAGATCAACGAAGCACACTGCTAAGGGGAGCAGCAGACGGGTCAGGAGAGGTCTGCTGCACCATATGGTCACCTCCCGGGGTGGGGATCGAACTCATGCTGAAGTGGCTTTAGCTTCTTAGTGCTGCATTATTAACCTGCTGCACCACCAGGGAGGGTCCAGGTTTGGTCATTTTTCCCCCAAATAATTTTTCTGGCCTTTTCAATCTCTCTTTTTCTGGGGCTCCTATAGTGAGCATATTCTTCATGTGTCCCACATATCTCTTGAGCTTACACTTTTGTAAACTCCTTTTTAATTGTGCTTCTCTGTCTGAGGGGTTCTATTGTGTTACCCTCCAGCTTACTTATCAATTCTGCTTTGTTCAGTTTGCTGCTGGACCCCCTCTCTTGTATTTTTCTATTAGTATCTTCTCTTACTCTCAACTTCTGTCTGAATCTTTTCAAAAGAGAAGTTCTTCTAGTTCTTCTGTTCTCCTCCCAAGTTTGGTAAGTATCTTTATAACCATGACTTTCTTATCTTCACTTCTTGAAGGTCTTTTTCTGGGTTATTCTTCCTCTTCCATTTGAGCCCTGCTTCCCCCCCCACCCCCCCCACCCCGTCTCCATTCTGTCTGATTCTGTGTTTGCCTCAATGATTAGGCAATTCTGTTACCTCACCTGGTCATGAAGGAGTGTTTTTTGGTTTTTTTTTTTAAGATTTATTTATCTGTGCATACAGAACTGGGGTACAGGCCAGAGGCTCAGGGGCGGTGAGAGGCTTCACCAGAGACAGAGTGAGGAGCAGAACAGGCAGATCTACGAAGTACACTGCTGAGGGGAGCAGTGGGCGGGTCAGGCGAGGTCTGCCACGCCATGTGGTCGACCACCTCTGGGGCAGGCGGGGATCTAACTCATGCGGAAGTGGCCTTAGCTTCTTAGTGCAGTGCTTTAACCTGCTGCGCCACCAGGGAGGGCCAACGGACTGTTTTTAGGCGGGTGATTGCCTCCATTGCCTTGGGAAAAGGGAGTTTAGCATCCCAGCCCACTCTGGCCACTGGGCTAGATACTCAAGGTGTGTCCTTGTGGGCACTGTACCTACCTGTGTCATGGTGGGACCATCTGGGAGGCTGTTGGCCTGGTTTGACTTTCTGACAACAGTTGTGTTAACCAGACGCCTATAACTGGTGCACTGAGTAGCTGGTGCCATGGGCTGGCCCAGTCTCAGCCTCAGCTGCTGCTTCTTGGCCAACAAATATAACTGGAGGCCCACATGAGCTGTGAATAGCAGCTGGACCCCGCCCACAGTGGCTGGTGGCCCTTCTCAGTGTGGAGCGGAGGCCCAATATGGTTCATTTTTCCTTTATTGTCTCTAACACTACTTTTATACCCTCTTTGATTCTATTTCCCTCTGAATCCTCACTTCAGTCAATAGTGCCCTTTAATTTTTTTTTGTCTTAACTTTTTTAAAATCATCTACTACGTAAATGTCCAATATTTGCTTTTGTCATTCTGACCTACTTTACTACACATAATCTCATATTCCTCTATTTTGCATAAACAGTGAGAATTCATCTTTCCTATGGCTTGATAATATTGCATTGTGTAGAGACACCCCATTTTCTGATCCAATCCTGTAGCTGTGGACACTTAAGGCCGTTTCTGTGTTCTCACTGTTGTAAATAATGCTGCAATAAGCATCATGGAGAATATGTTTTGTTGAGTTGATGGCTTCATAGACTTTGTTTTTTAATCTTTCACCTACTCACGGGCCCTCCCTGGTGGTGCAGCGGGTTAAAGCACAGCACTGAGAAGCTAAGGCCACTTCAGCATGATGAGTTTGATCCCAGTCCTGGAGGTGACCCACATGCTACAGCACACCTCTCCTGTCTCACCCGCTGCTCCCCTCAGCAGTGTACTTCGTCGATCTGCCTGCTCTGCTCCCCACTCTGTCTCTGGTGAATCCTCTCAGCCCCCTGCATCTCTGGCCATTGCCCCAGTTCTGTATGCATAAATAAATACATCTTTAAAAAAAAAAGTCTTTCACCTACTCAATACCTTTTCTTTTTTAAGATTTATTTATTCATACAGAACTGGGGTACAGGCCAGAGATGCAGAGGGTGAGAGGATTCACCAGGGACAGAGTGGGGAGCAGAACAGGCAGATCGACGAAGTACACTGCTGAGGGGAGCAGCGGGCGGGTCAGGAGAGGTCTGCCGGGCCATGTGGTCTCCTCCGGGGCAGGCGGGGATCGAACTCATGCTGTAGTAGCTTTAGTTTCTTGGTGCTGTGCTTTAACCCTCTGCACCACCAGGGAGGGCCCTCAATACCTTTTAACTGGTAAACTAATGATACTTATATTTAAGGCTGTTAAGAGACTTATTGCCCATTAATTTTTAATTTGCTCTTCTTTGTCTTTTTATATTTTGATATCTTCCTTTTATGTTTTGTGTAAGTTCTGCTGAAGTTAGAGGATGCTGGACAATTTCTGTGGGCTGCTAGTCTGCTCTTATACTCATTCTGATGGGCTATCCTCTCCTCCTCTTTCACATTATAAAATCTAGTGTCTACTACCCCTGCATATGTTTTATTGCTGCTTTATAGTAGACCCATTAGTATTTTTTCATATCCAGCTTGATGTTTCATCTTGGTTTTTCAGCAAAATTCCTTATCCTCCCTTCTGTCTTAAATGATAATTTTTCAGGCTAAAACCTTATGGGCTGGAATCCTTTTTTTTTTTTTTTTTTAAGTATTTTAAATATCTGCTGCCATTTCAGTCTTGCATTTAAGATTTCTAGTGAAAGGTCTGTGAACAAATAGGCCCAATAGGTATTCCCTATGGGCTATTCTTCTTTTCTTAATACTTTTAATATTCTATCCTTGCCTTTGACTTTCAACACTTTCATTATAATGTCTTGGAGTGTGTTGGTGTGATACTATTTTGGAGGGAAATTCGTTGGGCCTCTTGACTTGTTTCCCATGTTGAGCAGTTTCTCAACAATTATTTACTTCAATTACTTGTCTATCTCTTTCCCTTCTCTATTCCTCTGGAACCCTCAAGGTACAGATATTATTTCTCTTTAAGTCATCTAAATGACACTTATGCTGTTTCCTTTTGTTATTACTATTTTTTCTTTGTTCTGTTGTGTCTCTGGCATTGTGTTTTTTAGCTCAGTGATTTTCTCAGTGCTTGCATTTGTCTGTTGCTGAGACATGCTGCTTTATATTTAAATTCGATTGTAGGATTCTTAGATCCCTTATTTCTAGCTGGAAGAATCCCATATTTTCTCAATTTTGTGTGGTCTTGACTTTGATCATATATTGTTTTTCTTAATTTGGCAGGCATGGTTATTAGTGTTATTTTCAAATCCTCCTCAGGCATATGCCTGATGAAGATTTTGTGCTAGATTGAGATTTTTTTCAGTGCTTTTTCTGCGCCAACATTTGTGATATGTTCTTCTGTCTCTTCATTTTTAGTATTATTTAGTAACTGGCTTTCTGTTCTTCTGACAAGAAGTTGGGTATCACCGAGGCTTTTTACCCAGGATTCTTAGGTGTGTATTATTTCATAGACCAATGCCTTTGCACACGGCTGGGGAACTGGTGCTGGTAGGAAGGAACCAGGGCAGTAGGTCACGGAAGGTCACACTTGGTGTGCCTCGGGGTTCCAGCTTCTGCTGCGCTGCAGGCACCCTTGTGTGTTGGAGACCCATAGTGATTCCCTTTTCTAAGTCAACTCTTCAGTCAAAATGTCTTGTACAGTCTTGTCCCAGGCTCAACCTCTAGTTTTTGTTTGAGCAATAGATGTAGTGCTGGGTGGGGACTATAGTTGAGACAAGACTACAAACCAGGTGTTGTTCTCTTTGCATTTTGAGTATGGAATATTACCCTGGGGCTCTTGTATGTGTGTTGCTCAGACCCAGGTGCTCCAAACTCTGTTTAGTGAGAGCATTCAGGTGTCTTGGTTTTCACCCTTGATGGGGGTAAGGCAGGTGTTTCACCTATCATAGCCTCAGGCTACAAATAATAACCTCATCTAAAAGAAGGCACAGGAGCCCTCCCTGGTGGCACAGTGAGTTAAAGCGCAGCACTACAAAGCTAGCCACAGCCACTGTAGCACAAGTTCAATACCTGGCCAGGGGGTGACCCAGATGGCGTGGCAGACCTCTCCTGACCCACCCACTGCTCCCCTCAGCAGTGTACTTCATCAGTCTACCTGTCCTGCTCCCCACTCTGTCTCTCATGAATCCTCTCACCTCCCCTGCACCTCTGGCCTGTACCCCAGTTCTGTATGCATAAATAAATAAATCTTTAAAAAAATAAATGAAAGCAGGCACAGCTTAGTCCAATCTGCCTTTCCCTGCCGTTCAAGCTCCAACTGTTTTAGTTTATGAGTATCAGGTTCATCCCAGTAATCACCGGTCTGGACGCTGCCCCCTGTGGTTGTCCAATAGTGAACTCTCTCTTCTACACACTGACGTGCAAGCCCTTCTCCAGCCCAATACCTGGTTTTTAAAGTCCTCTGTATCGGGGTGTGTTCTTGAGCTAGCAAGAGCAGAGGACTCCCGATAGCAGCTATCCCTTCTCCTCATGGGCTCTGTTGCCCACCTTGGTCTAAACAGAGTTTAATTACAGTTTTTCCTTCCCCCTTTCACTGTGTCATTGCGCCTATATATATATATAAAATAGGCATGTTATTGTCTTTGTTTTGTTTGTGAATATGTGGAAGAAGTAAGCCTGGTATCTTCACTCGGACACCATCTTGCCAGACCTCTTCTGACGGCTCATTCTTTTTTTTTTTTTTCTTTATAGTTTATTTTTACATCATTTTGTGTCTTTTCCCATCTCAATTGTAATCCCCATGGACTTCCCATCACCAAATTACCCATGTGCCATCAGCATAGTCCTGTGCACTTCCCGCCAACCTCACTGTTTTTGACCCCATTCCCCACTCCACCCCCAGAAAGTGTCTCTGGTATATAGTTGTTCATTATTATTTTCCCCCTGTCCTTTATGCGCCTGCTATGAGTGAAACCACCCGATATTTTTCTTTTTCTTTCTGTCTTTTTTCACTAAGCATGATCCCTTCCAGCTACCCAATAGCTCATTCTTAAAAAACAAAGAAAGAAAAGACCCCATTAAGTCTGAAAGGTCTGATTGCAAAAATGGGTTCTGAAGGAATCCCTTCACCTATGACAACCTTTCAAGATGACTTGCTAGGAAACTGTGTCTTCAGATGTATGTTTTCAACTTTTTAAAATTAGAGTGTTAACTGGACACTTCCCCACACACATGCACTTTACCCCGGGCCCAGCACCACCGCCTCTCAACCCCCTTCTGCAGTTTTGCTTTGTTTGAGGAAGAAGGTGCAATCCCAAGAGAAATGTTGTCATCCTCCCTAAAGTCAGAGCAGATATGGGTGTGTGACTGAGGAGGGGTCCTTCACCCCACTTAGTCATCAGTTTAAGGTATGCAACTTGAGCAAGTCCCCTACATCTTGGACCAGACCAGGAAAATGAAACAAGTTCGACTTAATGAAACAAATTTGACTTAATCCACAGGCTTGTGGTAAATAAAAATGAGTAATAAAGATGACAAGAGCTTTTCTGCCTGAGATGCTGTGCAAGATAACAAAGTAGCTGCTACTCATCATGCCCCAGGAACATTGGGCTATGTTTTATATGCTCTTACTCATCCAATTCTTTCAAATAAATGACAGAGCGTGTGCCATTATTTCCCACTTTTCACAGATAAAGAAATGAGGGTGTGACCTGCTCGAGGTTGCCTAACTCCAATAGGACAAGACATTCAGTAGAACAAAGGAGAAAGCTGGCCCAGAGCATCACATAACCACCCCATTGCACAGAGTTATTGGAGAATGTTTCTGTCTCCATCCCATCTCCCACTCAGTGCCATCCCAGGGCCAAGTGAGATAAAAGAGCCATGATGGAGTCTCAGCCACAGAAAGCACCACTACGGAGGAACAGAATGTCCTGGAAGAAAATAGGGAACCCAGGCAAACTCACAATCTTCCAGATTCTAGGGGGAAAAAAAAATTGACATTAGCATTTTTTTTTTATTATTTCTTGTTCTAGGGGATGTGAATGAGCTGGTGGATCTAGTTCGCCATCACGTTCCAGAGGCAAAACTAGTAGAATGCATTGGCCAAGAACTTATCTTCCTTCTTCCAAATAAGAATTTCAAGCAGAGAGCATATGCTAGTCTTTTCAGAGAGCTGGAGGAGATGCTGGCTGACCTAGGGCTCAGCAGTTTTGGAATTTCTGACACTCCCTTGGAAGAGGTAAGGCAGAGATTCTGCCAGCTGCCCGAAGGGGTAGTTCTTTACAAAACTCTAACACTGGAGGGAGTTTTAGAAAAGCAAAAATCCTTAATTATCTACCCAGATGTAACAACTACCTTCATTTCTGGCTCCTTCCTTCTGCCTTTGGCCATATCACACATAGTCTGTTCTTGTGGTCACTATGTGCCCACATTTATAGTTATAGAAGATTGTGTTTTTGGATAAAGAATCAGAACATTTTTTTTCTTCCCATTATGAACAATACCTAACAAAATTGAGCTTAGTCAGATTTATCTGAGAGTGGGAATGCCTACCAAATCCTCTCTTTTTTCTTTCTTAACAGATTTTTCTGAAGGTCACAGAGGATTCTGACTTGGGGCCTCTCTTTGCTGGTATTTGCTATATAGCTGTTCCCTTAGCCAACCCCCCAAGCTCTAGCTTTAAAGCCTAAGGAAAAACTCATGAGACACAAAGAAAGCAAATATGTCTCCACAGTATTTACCTGACACCCAAATAACAGGCATTTTGCATTCTTTGTTCCTTTGAAGGACAACAGAATGACAGGAGGAATGAGGTCTGGGCAGGAACACTCTGGGTGACCTGGGATTCCTAGGAGGTTAGGCTGGCAACGGCCCTGTCCCTGAGCTTCTCGCCCACTTCCCAGTCTCTTGTTCCAGCCACATCACCATCCACATTTCCTCCTCTAATCTCCACCAATCTCTGATCCACTCCTGTCGGCATGAGTGACACTAGGCAGAGTCCTTAGAGATAAGGTGACAGCAAATACAACCCAGATGCCAGCTAGGAAGCTCTGGTCCCTTTGACATCAAGATAAAATAATTCCGAATCCTCATCTACCCTAAGGTACTAAAACCATTGAGGGTTTCATTCTATGGATTCTCTCTTGGGGTCGTACTTCCATATGAGTGTGTCTAGGCACCAGCTAGCCCATCCATGAGTCCTACCAAAATCTCAGGGTTAGAGAAACCATTCATGAGTACAGTAGGCTTTACTGTGCAGGGTGGAAGGTAGAGAATTGACCATAATGCAAGCTGCTTCAGATAAAACTATCAGTATCACCTTACTAGGTAAAATGTTTCACTGATTAAAATACCCACTGTTGGCCCTCCCTGGTGGCGCAGCGGGTTAAAGCACAGCACTGAGAATCTGAAGCCACTTTCGCATGAGTTCGATTCCCGCCTGCCGCCTGCCCCGGAGGAGACCACATGGCGAGCCAGACCTCTCCTGACCCGCCCGCTGCTCCCCTCAGCAGTGTACTTCGTCAATCTGCCTGTTCTGCTCCCCACTCTGTCTCTGGTGAAGCCTCTCACCGTCCCTGAGCCTCTGGCCTGTCCCCCAGTTCTGTATGAATAAATAAATAAATCTTTAAAAAAAAAAAAATACCCACTGTTAAAATCCTCTGCCTAGTTCCTCTCTCCACACAGTTTTCCACTCTCTTGGTCTTGGGGTAAGTTGTAGGGCAGTTCCCCTTTGCTGCTTTGTCACTACTACCTCCGGAAGCTAGTAGAGCAGGAGCAGCCCTGTCTGGGGGGAACTGAGCTTACATAGGTCAAGACTTGTCTCAAATCACACCAGCTTCTGAGGCCTGAACTTTGAGATCCCTGATTCCACACTCAGATATAGCCCATTTCCTAAATGGTCAAATGTACTTGTTTTGAATTGACTCCAGGTTAAAGGTTAAGAGAGCAGCTGGGACTGACCCACTCTCTGCTTGGCTCTTCTCATCTATCCCACCACAGACAATCTGCAGTTGAGCCACCTGCCAGGGAAGTCAAGTTGGTCTTTAACTGCTGATTTGCAGTGGTTTATAGTGCAGCTTCACATGAGTCACCTCATAACAACTCTGTGAAATATTCTCATTTTACAGATTAGAAACCACAAATTTTGACAGGTTGAATCCCTCAAGTTGATGCATCTTCTAAGAATCAGGATTCAAACCTAGTTTTCTAACTCCTGGATCATTAATCTTTCCCTACTTGTCAGCGGTCTCAAGGATTAAGAAAGAACCAAATTGGCTTTGACTTCCAGTTTTTTTTAAGTTCATAGGTTATGGCAAATATATATATTCTGATGTTTAAAATTTCAGAAAAAAGGCTGAGATCACCCTTCCCACTTCAACCCCATCCCTGTCCCATCTCTGCCCCATGGTTATATCCTCAGTATCCTCAGTTAACACTGGAGAGAAGGGATGTTTTTACAGGTATATGTAAAATACCATTTTTCTTTTTATATGACATATGCACTCTAATATAAATATAATTTTACTATACATATTCTGCAACTTCATGGTTTTTTAATTTGTACAGTTTAGATCTCAATGCCTCTGTCAGTGCATTCAGATTTATACTGCTCCCTTAAATTATCAATATTTTGGAAATTTTAAGATAATTTCAGGTGAGTTTTGTCTCTCAAGAATCTATACTGAAAAATATAACTTAAATGTATTAGACTACCTGGCCTGTTACTTTGCTTCTGGTTTAAGTGATGGGAAAACCAATGCAGTAAGAAAGCAATGGCCTAAGAGATTGAGTCCTTGTGTTTTGCTAAATTATGAATTCAATCCTCACACCAGGCCAAACTGAGCAGAAAAAAGAAAACGTCAGCTTCCGGCACTGTGGTTTGGATTCCTTGGAGAAATCCGGCCAGACTCCCCCAAGCTCGAGCAACTGCCCCGTGGAGCCAGCTCCTGTCCCTGAGGCCCGGCCCTCCCCAGGGCCGCCGGAGCAGTGCCCGCGCAGGACCGGGGCCCGACTGGTCCTCCAGCACGTGCAGGCGCTGCTGGTCAAGCGTCTCCAGCACTCCGCGCGCAGCCACCGGGACTTCCTGGCCCAGGTGGGCAGTGCCGGGCCTGTCTGTGCCAGCTTGTTCCCGCGGGGCTGGCCTGCCCTCTCCTGACTGCTTGTAGGCTCAAACACAGTCACGAGCTCCCTCTCGAGGTCCTGCCCTGTTTCCTCCCGGCCAACCCCTATTTTGACTCTTGGTAGCACAAAGCCTCTTTGTAAATCCAGCCTGACTTAGTAGAGAAAATAGCATAACAGTGACGGTGTTAAGACTGTCTGCATTGTTTACCAGGAAGGTAAAAGTCATGTTTTCATTCATTTTTGCAGTGACCCTACTTAGGAAGGTGCTGTCCCCTTTTTCTTCTTTTTGTTTTTTTTATTCGGTTAAAGAAATTCTGGTTCACCTCTGACTGAACTTTGGCCTACTTAAATGGTCGCCATTGTTCACTGTTGGCCTACTTCAGCCATTCTTCAATAGTTACCAGAACATCCTATTTTTTCTGGCACATCTTGCCTTTGTGCAATGCTGCCTAGAATGTTCCCCAGAAGCCTGATCTTCTCTACCAGGGCATGCTTATGAGACTGTAGGAAAATGTTTTAAAAAATCTGTCTATGTTTATATGGGGGTGGGGGTTGAGGGTGGTGTTAACAGACTAGGTACCATGACCCGTGTTTATTTTTCCATAGATTGTGCTCCCAGCCACCTTTGTGTGTTTGGCTCTGACACTTTCCAGCGTCATCCCTCCTTTTGGTGAATATCCCGCGCTGACCCTCCACCCCTGGATGTATGGACAGCAGTATACCTTCTTCAGGTGCGGAGACTGGTCCCCACAGGTCCTGGTTCACTGGTGTGGCTTGAGGACTCCAGGGGTTGCAAGCTGCTGGGTGGAGCCTGCCCTTTCCACTACCTGGGACAGACCAACATGGTAGGGGTCATCGGGCAGCTTGGTAGGGGTCATGGGGCGGCCTCAGAGAGGAAGTTAGTTTAGCTGCAACAGCCCAAAGAGGTGAGATCATGTGGACAACAGATTATCAGGAGGGAGGAACGAGAGAGGAACCTGAGTGAGTTTTGAAGCACCTTTTTGAGCTGTAGCAATGATGTGCCTGCAGGTTGCTGGTGTGGCTGGGCAGCCTGCCTTGCAGGAGGTGCCCACCCAGCCCTTCTGCACAAGGTTCCTCGGGCACATGTCTGGCATGTAGCAGCCATTCAGTAGATGCTTTTTGAGTTGCATGTAGGCTGCTCTTGTCCCTCTGTCCCAGCCCCACATCTGTCCAGTAAGCTCCTCTCACTCTGTCTAGCATGGACCAGCCAGGCAATGTGCAGCTGACAGCATTCGCAGATGTCCTCCTCGATCCGCCAGGCTTCAACAACCACTGCCTGAAGGAAGAGTGGCCTCCGTAAGTCCCTGCATGCCCCATGCCAACTCCAGAATGGCCAGAGACATGATGGTGGGGTCCTGGGATAGCAGGGTTGGGAGGAGCCCCATCCCAGGCCCGCCCTGAATCACAGACACTCCCTATCTCCTGCCAGCTTTCACTCAGCCTCTGCAAGACTTGTGTGAGAGCATGTTCACGGCTCGTAGGAAGCTCCTGCGTCATTGGCCAGCTCTCTGTTTTCTATAATTCTCAATACTGAAAGTCCCATACTTAGTTGACACATGCTTCCCACAACTTATTTGAAAGGAGTTTGAACAGAAAAGCAGAGATGAGCATGTGGTGTTGTATCACTGGACCTAGAATGGCACTGATTGCAAACATGGCTATGATTCTGCTCCCAGTTACAGAAAGTGGGAGGAGGGGATTGTTTTCCCACACCACCAAGCAATTCTAGGCTACCAGTTGGCTATTCCAGTTCTGTCAACTTTGACACTCTTTACCTGGAAAAAAGGGCTCAGGCCTTCAAAACATTCCCTCTTCCTGTCCCACCTCCAGGTTGCCACTTCTCTATGTTTCCAGCCAGCTGGATGGGTGATAGATGGAGGTTCCAAAAACTCTGTCCTTGGGCTTAATTATTTGTTAGAGCTACTCTAAAAATTCAGATGTTTAACTTGCTATATCACTAATTTATTCTAAAACAGCAGAAGTTAGGAACAGCCATATGGAAGAGATGCCTGATGTGGGAAGAGAGGGAGACTTCCTCGCCTCTCTGAGACCCCATGGTCTCCACATTAACCAGGAACTCTCCAAGCCCTGTTCTCTTGGGGTTTTATGGAGTCTTCATTAATGGGCGTGAGTGTCCTGACTTAACTAAGTTAGCCAATTCCTAACTTATTCTAAATTCATCCTAACTGAAATCATTAACCATTGCTATTGATCCGGCCTCCAAGCCTCTCCCCTCCACAGAAGTTAGGGGATGGGAGGGAAAGTCCCAATCTCCTAATCACATGCTTCATTCCACTGACAACCAGTCCCCATCTTAGGTGTTTACCAAAAGTCACCACATTAACATAGCAAGAGACCCCTCTGGCACTCTCCGCATAGAAAATTCCAAGGATCTTAGGAACTCTATCAGATGTAGCTGAAGACCAACTATACATTCCTCATTGCAAGTCACAATATCACAACGGCCAACTCTCAATTGTTGTTGTAAATGTAAAGAATGGAACTATAAAGGCCCATTGGAATCCACTAAGAATTCTAAAACTTCGATACAATTTTAACTTCTTCTCTGATTCAGTCTTTCAGAGCTACCGATAAGGGCCTAAAAATGGGCTAATTTCAAATTCCTCTTTCATATCTTCTCTCAACATCTAGAGCCACCAGCAGGAAAAAGGGAGTTAAAACCATCCACAAACTAGATTAAGAGTCCCCCAGCCCCACACTTAATCAACCAGTAAAATCCTAGAAATTTTTTTTTAAGATTTATTTATTTATGCATACAGAGCTGGGGTACAGGCCAAAGGTGCAGGGCAGTGAGAGGCTTCACCAGAGACAGAGTAGGGAGCAGAACAGGCAGACTGACGAAGTACACTGCTGAGCGGTGCAGCAGGTGGGCCAGGAGAGGTCTGCCGGGCCATGTGGATCCCCTCCAGGGCGGGGATCAACTCATGCTGAAGTGGCTTTAGCTTCTTAGCGCTGTCATTTAACTCGCTGCGCCACCAAGGAGGGCCCCTTAGAAATGATTTTTTTATGGGTAGAAACTAAAGCTCAAGAAGTAAAAGAGGAAAGGCGTGTGTCTAGAGAGGGAGGAAAAGCTAAAAAGGAAAGCACTGGGCCCTCGTTCTCATCTCCAGGGGGGCTGATCAACTTTGGGGGTGATGGTGAATATTTTCTTGTCTTCCAGGAGGGAGGGCCCCTGCAGCGACTCAGCCACCTGGAAGATCCCCTCGGTGTCCCCACATGTCACCCACCTGTTCCAGAAGCAGCAATGGACAGCAGACAACCCGTCACCTTCCTGCAGGTGCAGCACCAGAGAGAGGCTCACCATGCTCCCCGAGTGCCCTGAGGGGGCCGGAGGGCTCCCACCTCCCCAGGTACTCAGCATGCAGGGGAAAATAGCATGGGCTGGGGAAAATGTGTTGGGTCTCATTGAGTTTCTTTCTAGACAGCTAACATTTGAATCTGACAGCTCAAAGAAGGACTGAATGCAGACACCCAGTCCTTTCCAGGGGCGTCTCAAGGGCCTGGTGCCGGCCACATAGAGGAGGTCATTGACCAAAATTTCATTTTCCACTAACACTCCCTATTTAATATAGTAAGAAAATAGTCTTAGACATGGAGAAATTAAATACACCAGTCATGCTTATCTCAGAAAGATTAAATATCCACAATTCAGAAGAAAAAAATTAATCCTATCACTTGGCGGTATCCACCAATAATATTTGGGGTTTATCCATACGAACAGGATTATATTCAAAACATGTCTCAAAAAACTGCTATTTTTACTTAATAGCATTTCATAAAACTTTGTCCGTGTCAATAAACAGACATAGATATCATTGTTTTCAGTGCCTGCCTGCTCAGTGCCGGCTTTGAATTTATTTTAATTTACTTAACTAATCTCTCATTTGGATATGTCAGTCTTCCAGCTTCTTCCATTGTAAGTAATGTCGCAATGTCCATTCAAATGCATGTGCACTTAGATACGTATTAGCAGTCTTACAAAGAAGCAACAGTGCACACACTGGATAAGCCAGCAATTTATCTTTGGCAGGAACAGCAGCAAATTTAGCTCTGAGTTCCATCTGCTCTTGGGAGTTCTGAACCTAGAATGTATCACAGTGAGCCTCTCCTGGGGTTCAAAGACAGCGAAAGCAGCAGAAGTCTCACTTTGTCTTAGGATGACCATGGGCCTCCGGGCTGACTTGCACAGACCTAGGCATGACATGACCCTCTCGAGTGACCAGCCAACAAGTGAACGGTTCCCAGAGAGGGCAGTGTGGTGTTGGGGAGGACCCAGCACCAGCCGCACAGAGCGCCTGGTGGGTTACTCGGCCTCTGACTCTTTTTTCCCCTCACTTACAAGCTGGGAGAGAACTGAACTTACCTTGTAGCATTATATGGGAATTCAGTGAAATTATGTAGTTAGAAGCCTGTACGTATTATTTAGAATTAGATTCATCACTTGAGTCTAACAGTGAACAAAATGGGACACAACTTTCTCTCTTATGTAAAAGTGTGTGGTCTGGTGATCTGCTCTGCTGTCCTCCATTTTAAACAGACTCAAATGAACCTCAATGGTCAAAATGACAGAATCTACTTCCCAGGCAACAGAATGGAAAAAGAGATAGTAACAGGGAGGGCAAAACTGTTTATAGTTGTCTGTAAATTAAAGTAATAATCCTTCCACTCTTATGAAAGTTAAGGGAGATAGTCTAAAGAAAACCTTTGATGCAGTTCATGTTTTAACTGGCGCACAGTAAGCATTCTGTGGTGTCTGGTTCTCTTCCTAGTGTCAGAGGCACAAGTGAAGAGATTGAATTGAAGAAGTAACTAAGATGGGAAAGGAGAGAGGGAGACAAGTGTCTAAAAATCAAATCTGTGTGGTGGATGATGGAATCTGTGTGGTTCCCTCCGCTACCTCTGGGTGGCACCCTTGATATTCAAGCTTGGGAGCAGACCAGAAACCTATTCAGCTCTATATATCCCCAAATTTAAAGGAATACTGCCACCTAGTGGCAAATCTCATCACTTTTTGAATCCTTCAAGTCTTGATTCACTCCCAGTCCTAAATGTATTTTACAATTGATTTGTGCTTTGTAGGATTTGTCAGTCAGATCACAGATTTAATGTTTCAGCTATATGCTAGGCCTGCTTCTGGATCTAGTGACACATAACCAGTCAGGGAAAGCCCCTGCTCATGGAATTTATGTAACAGAAAAAACAAGTAAACAAAGGTCAAGAAACCCACACACTTGAGTAAATAGATCAATGGGGAAAGTTTTCAGAGGGAAATGATGAGAAAATAAGGCACTCATATGTGATGATAGAGACTATCTAGAAATTTAATAAATTCCTTTAGAGAATAAAATTTGGGCTGACTTGAATAATGAAGAGGCAGCCATGTGAGGTTGTCCAGGTAGATCATTTCAGATAAGACCAACCAAGTGCTAAGTTATAATGGGAATGAAAGGTGTTGAGTTGAGAAGCTGGGAAGACAGGGACGAGGAGTCAGAGGCAGTAGGGGAGCTCAGCAGGCCAGACCCTGTAGGCCACGTCAGTCTTGGTGATGAATTTACATCTGATCCTAGGGTTTTTGAAATATGATTAGCCAGGGAACTGGAGTTGGTGAGGGGAGGGAGGACTCTGATTTTAATTTTTAAAGCTTGGACTGCTCAGTAGAAAAGGGATTTGAAGAGCCAAGGATGAAATCAGGGAGACCAATTTGGAAATTTCTGTATAGGCCCAGAAGAGATTTCGGTAGAGGCCTGAGCTAGGGAGTTGGTGGTGGAGTCAGAGAGATACAAGTAGGTTAGAGATTTATTTGGCACTAGAGCTAGTCTATGTTGTTCATGAATTGGGGTAAAAAAGAGATCAGAGGTGACTCCCATATCTTTGATGTAGGAACTAGGGAGACCCAAAGTTCCCTGAAAATTTAGAGTGTTCCCAGCAGTTAAGTTCACATATAATTTCTGGAGAAGAATAAACAGAAGTGGGAGTGCTTCAAATTCCAAAGTACTTAACACGAATGTCTTATTGTCTCAGAGAATACAGCGCAGTTCTGAAATCCTGCAAGACCTTACCAACAGGAACATCTCCGACTTCTTGGTGAAAACATATCCTGCTCTTATAAGAAACAGGTAAGGAGAGACCCTTTCCTATTTTTCACCCTGGTCACCTATACACAGCATGAACGAGGAACATAAAATAATTTCCTGTCATGATTTATCAACAGTCAGAGCAGTGAACTTTTTTCTTTTTCCTAATTTGAATATTTCATCCAAAAGAAAAAGCAATTGAGACATATCCAATAAAATACAGTTTAAGATACATTTTGTCCTTTGTTTAAACTGAGTAGTTGTTATATTGAAGTAACATTGCATTATAATGTAATATAAATTATGTTATATTCCATATAACATAATATAAATTTCAGGTGTGCATAACTGAGATTCAACATAGCGTATATTTTATTTTTTTTTAAGATTTATTTATGCTTACAGAACTAGGGTACAGGCCAGAGGTGTGGTGTATGAGAGGATTCACCAGACACAGAGTGAGGAGCCAAACAGGCAGATCTACTGAAATATACTGCTGAGGGGAGCAGCGGGCGGGTCAGGAGAGGTCTGCTACCCCATGTGGGTCACCTCCCTGGCCAGGGATCAAACTCATGCTGCAGTGGCTTCAGAGAGCTTCATAATGCAGTGCTTTAACCTGTTGGGCCACCAGGGAGGGCCCTCAACATAGTGTATACTTTATTAAGTTCACTGCTAAATATACAATTCTCTCACCACACCAACTGCGTCCTTTTATTCAATTTACCAACCACCCCAAGCTTCTTTATGTCTAGTAACCACTAACTTGTCTTATAGTCCAAAGTTTATTTTTGCTTTTTGTTCTAGTTCCTTTAAGATATAAACTTAGGTTTATTTTTCATTTGAAATTCTTGTTTCCTGGAGTAGAAAGCCAAACAACCTTAAAGTCTAACCCATATTCTAGTTACAGTAAAATAAGAAGACACTGAACTTAACCAACAGTGCAGACTTACAGTTTAATTATAAAAGAGACAAATTTTGGAGGGGTGAGGAGTAAGGAGAAAGAGTAGAGAAAAATGACAGAAAGCAAGAGGCAGAAAGTGAGATGCACAAAAGATAGAGTAAGATAGGAAAAAGGCAAAGAGGTAGTGTCTAAGTGAACCCACCCTGGCTGGCCAGGTTTGCTGTCTGATCACCTTCTACAGATTATCATCTGCACCATCACTGTCCTTGCACATGCCAATGAGATCCTCGATAAAAGCTACTCTCTCACTCTGCAGATGCTCTCATCAGCCCCAACCTAGGATAGGAAAAGGCTTCAGCAGCCCACATCAATACAAGCTCCTTAACAAAAGCTTGTTACAGAGAAGGGACCCAGGGATTCCTGATCCAGGCCCCACAAGCTCTGGAATTTTCATTAAAAACATATATATATATATATTTTGGGGGCCTGCCTGTGGCACAAGAGGGTTAAATGCAGCACTATCAAGCTATCCACAGCCACTTCCTCATGAGTTTGATCCCCAGCCGGGCAGCTGACCCACATGGTGCAGCAGACCTCTCCTATCTTGCTCACTGCTCCCCTCAGCAGTGTACTTCATCTATCTGCCTGTTCTGCTCCCCACACTGTCTCTGATGAATCCTCTCAAGTCCCATGCCTCTGGCCTGTGCCCCAATTCTTGTAAGCATAAGTAAATAAATATTTTTTAAACATGCTAATTTTAGCAGTACTTCCAGTTGCTTTCTATTTCAGACAATGAACGAAAGACAGACTCAGTTAAATAGCTCGCTAGTTGACTGCAGGTGGTGAAAGCTATTGCTAAGAACACATGACCAAGAGAACAGTTAGCAAAATGCAGAAGATCATCTAAGCACAAAAACAAAAGCAAAATGCATGGGACTTATACAAAAATGCAATAAACAATCACCTTTATAAACTTTATTCTCAGCAGCAAATTTGTAATGTGGAATTGTGGGTTTTCTGCTTGATAACTGATGACAGTGATACTTTATGGGTATGAACTATGAAGTCTAGTTAGTGCCTGCTCCATTGTAAGCAGTGCTGTAAGATTCATTCACATGCATGTACGCATGTACTTATCAGCTGTCCTACTGAGAGGCTAGCATGCACACACATGCACAAGCACACGCTGGATAAGCCAGCGACTTAACTTTTCCAGGAACATCCACAAACTTAGCTCTGAGTCGCATCCACTCTTGGGAGTTCTGAACTCAGAATGTATCACAGTGAACTTCCCCTGGGTTTCGGAGACAGTGAAAGCAGCAAGAGAAGTCTCACTTTGTCTTAGGCTGACCATGGGCCTCCCGGCTGACTTGCAGAGCTGGACCAACGTGGCCCTCTCAATTGAACGATTCCCAGAATGGCAGGTGGTCAGTAGGCTCACCAGTGCAGGTGGAAGAGGGCTGCAGCCTTCCCTCCACACTGGCATGATCACGGCCACGTTTTCTAGGTCCAGAAGAACACACTGATCTGGCAAGTGACTTGACAGCCACACCACCCAGGTGTCCAGCATATGGGTGCGTCTCAGGTTGCTAGTGGTGGACACCAGTCCTTTCTCTGCATGTGGATTCAGGCTCTGCCCTGGACCCCACTGCGTGGCTATCAGGAAATGCAAAAATGCCCCATGAAGACTGGGACACCCAGTGAGTGTTTAGGAAAGAATGTTAATTAACATCACTGCTGTACGTATGGCATTCATTATGTGTTTCATTTTAACTTTCAGCTTAAGAAGCAAATTCTGGGTCAATGAACAGAGGTAAGAAGCTATTTAGACATTTAAATCTGAAAGGGATTCACTTAAAATAACTGCACATTAAAGTCACACCCTAAAGTCATGTGGATAAAATGTTTTACACATGCTCAGAAATTCACAAACTATGTCCTAGAGATCTATGACTGAGGACACCCCAAACCTGAAGATGTTTAGCAGTAGGTCTCCTTGGAAGACATGAAAAGAAGGTGATGTTCTAAAGCATTTTTACCCAAGGGAGGTAAAAATCCTGAATCCTGAGGGAGGTACTGAATCCTGAGGGAGGTTATATCCCATAGCACAGAGTATAATAGTTTAGGCTGCTGCATGAAAGGACTTGTACCTATGCCCTGGTCACACATTGGCGCATTCATCTGAGGCCTCAGGGGTCCGACTTCCCAGACTCAGCCCCTTCCTGAGGCATCCTGACTCAAGTGGTCCCAAAGATTTGGGGTCTCCAGGGAACGCTCCATGTAAGCTGGCCTCCTGGGCCTCCCGGGAATGGGTCTCTAGAATGAATGCAGAATTGATGTTCATTTGACTTCCTAGATAGAATCTAAATCATGAAAGTAAAATCCCACTTTCAGAATCGCTCCCTAGAGGGAAGCAAAACGTGGGCAGGGGAACAATTTGAAGCCCCTTAAAAATAAAGCTCTCCTCCTCTGTTTTGCCAAACCAGCAAACTAATTTTGTTCTGTTAAGAGGTTTGGTTTTTATTCTATACCTTTGAAGGGTTTTAAATCAGAGAGCAACAGGCTGTTTAGACTTCTAGAACAAGGTGGAATACAATAGAGGATTGGAGAGGAAATTTCCCCATCCACCCTTCTGAATTCTTGAGCTAGTATAGCAATCAAATTAACATCAGACAAATTAGTAGAAGAAAAGAATCCGTTTCCTATGTGTGGAGAATCTACATGCATATAGATTCCAGAGCCAATGGGATAAATGAAGGTATATATACTAAACTAAGAAATGCATGGGATAGCAAGTCTGGGGCTTAAGGAGAGTGGAGGGAGACTCACACTCATGTGATGAGAAGGTAATTCATTTATTGATCATGAGGATTCTCTGCAATTAGATGCTTGTCCTGCCATTACATAAGTTTACATAGAAAGGTTATTGCTTATACAATTCTAATTCTTGGAAATGCTTTCAGTTTTCATTCTTCTAGATAGACAATGCTTCTATAAGTCTGAACACTGTGATTGACCTTAGCTCAGAATAATCTAGCTGCATGCCAGTGATACAGCTGCAGAAAGCCTGTTCTGAGCAACTTGGGGAAGTCTTTCCTTCACTGGATTCTAGGAAGAGACACCCAAGACTAGATCCCAGTTAAGTAGCTAGAAGTAGAGTGAAGGCAGAGATCATGCAGATCCACTGGAGGCCAGGGGGGTTGAGAGGCACTGAGAGAGAGGTGACTACAGCTGGCCTTGGTTATGTTGAGCTGAGTCCAGTGCTACAGAAATAGCTGCAAAGGAATCGTTGATAGATATGGAGGAGAGTCAGGGAAGACTTAAAGAGATGACATAGGACAGATGGGCCCAAGTTGCCCAGCCATGGGTGCTCTGGGAGTGATTCCACAAGGAGAGAAAATGCCACACAAGGGAAAGGTGCAGGAGGGGTGCATTTGGAGAGGTGAGCAGAGACTGGGCTCAGAAACAACCAGGCCTTCATCTTGGTGGCAAAGAGGAGTCATTAAAAGTTGGTTAGGGGGCCCTCCCTGTGGCGCAGCGGGTTAAAGCACAGCACTGAGAATCTAAAGCCGCTTCTGCATGAGTTCGATTCCCGCCTGCCCCGGAGGTGA